GTTCAACTTTTTTTAGTCGTTCCCTTTCATCTCCGAGCTCTTTCCTCTCCCTCTCTAGTCTCTCATCTTCTTGAGCTTTTTCTCGCTCAATGCGTTCTTGTTCTAGAGCTTTTTCCCGTTCGTTCCTTTCTCGCTCAATGCGTTCTTGTTCTAGAGCTTTTTCCCGTTCCTTCCTTTCTCGCTCTATGCGTTCTTGTTCTAGAGCTTTTTCCTGTTCCTTCCTTTCTCGCTCTATGCGTTCTTGTTCTAGAGCTTTTTCCCGTTCCTTCCCTTCTCGCTCTATGCGTTCTTGTTCTAGAGCTTTTTCCCGTTCCTTCCTTTCTCGCTCTATGCGTTCTTGTTCTAGAGCTTTTTCCCGTTCCTTCCTTTCTCGCTCTATGCGTTCTTGTTCTAGAGCTTTTTCCCGTTCCTTCCTTTCTCGCTCTATGCGTTCTTGTTCTAGAGCTTTTTCTTGCTCCTTCCTTTCTCGCTCTATGCGTTCTTTTTCAAGAGCTTTTTCTCGCTCAATGCGTTCTTGTTCTAGAGTTTTTTCCCGTTCAACCCTTTCTCGCTCTATGCGTTCTTGTTCTAGAGCTTTTTCCCGTTCTCTCCTTTCTCGCTCTATGCGTTCTTGTTCTAGAGCTTTTTCCCGTTCTCTCCTTTCTCGCTCAATGCGTTCTTGTTCTAGAGATTTTTCCCGTTCTCTCCTTTCTCGCTCTATACGTTCTTGTTCTAGAGCTTTTTCCCGTTCTTTCCTTTCTCGCTCTATGCGTTCTTGTTCAAGAGCTTTCTCCCGTTCTTTCCTTTCTCGCTCTATGCGTTCTTGTTCGAGAGCTTTCTCCCGTTCTTTCCTTTCTCGCTCTATAGCTTTTTCCCGTTCAATTCTTTCTCGCTCTATGCGTTCTTGTTCTAGAGCTTTTTCCCGTTCAATTCTTTCTCGCTCAATGCGTGCTTGTTCTAGAGCTTTTTCCTGTTCAATTCTTTCTTGCTCAATGCGTTCTTGTTCTAGAGCTTTTTCCTGTTCAATTCTTTCTCGCTCAATGCGTTCTTGTTCTAGAGCTTTGTTACGCTGGATGCGTTCTCGCTCAATTATTTCTTGCTCTAGAGCTTTTTCATGCTCAATTCTTTCTCGCTCAATTTTCTCATCTTCTAGAGCTTTTTCTAGCGCAATTCTTTCCCTTTCAAGCTGTAGAGCTTTTTCGCGTTCAATTCTTTCCTGTTCCAGCCTCTCTCTCTCTAGCCTTTCTTGCGTCAACGCCTTCTCTCGCTCAAGCCTCTCCCTCTCAGCCTTCTGGGCCTGCTCTTTTTCTAATCTCTCCCTCTCCAAAGCCTGAGCCCTTTCTTGCTCGTCCCTCTTACGCTGTTCTTGTTCCTCTTGCTCTCGCTCTAGAGCCCTTTGATGTTCAAGTTCCAAAGCTCGCTTTCTCTCTTCTTTTTCTTTAGCCAAAGCCATCTCTCGTTCCCGTTTCTCCTTTTCTAAAGCAAACTTCATTTGCAGAGCCTTTTCTTTTTCTAATGCTTGTTCTCGTTCAAACTGTTCTTTCTCCAAAGCTTTCTGGTGTTCTGCTCTTACCCGTTCCTCCTCTATAGCCCTTTCTTGCTCAAGTTTTCGTTGTTGTTTTCTTTGAAGTCCAGGAGCTCTTTCTCTTTGTAATTCAGCATCGCTCTCAGTCGTTACTTTTAAAACACTTAGAGGTCCTTGAGCATGGCTTTGAAGGACAGAGGACACTAGACCCTCAGGACAAACTTGATTGGGAAATGATACTGAAGAAGAGCAGTTGTCCTGTCTGTTCTTTTCATGGCTGCGCCATTCAGCTCCAGAAAAGGCACCTTCAGACTCCATTTTTCGTGCCAGAAGAGTCAATGGCCCAGGCTTGCGCTCTGCATGCCCGTCATGAGGTTCAGGGCTGCTGCTGCGGCTGCCACTGCTTGATGAACCAGAGCTGGAGGAAGAGGGAGAACGCCCACCTGCAGCTTCATCTGGACTAGGTGGACTCTGCTTCGGAGTGTCAGGTAAAGGAAAGGATAACTCTGGTGGTGGAGATGGTGGAGGTGTTGGCTGGCGGAGCTGAGGAGATAAAAGTGAAGGAATATGTTGCTGCTGAGGCTGGCAAGAGGCTGCAGATCTCTCCCTGACCATGGGTGCTCTCACTGGTTGTCTGGGGAGTCTTCCCTGATTTTTACTGTCCCAGTCATCATCGTCATCATCATCAGCATCATCCTCTCCGTCTTCACTGTCGTCTTCATCACTGTCCCCTGCATCATCATTTTGTTCTTGAGCCACAGATCCAGAAGTGGGTGGGCGCGACACGGCAGCCTCCCGTCGCCTGTGACTCAAGCCCTCTGACCCTGCTTGTCCACTAGAGGGGCCCGGTGGTTTGAAGTGATCAGTCACAGCAGGTGGGGCATCCTGAATGATAAATTAGGTACTTCTTGATTACAAACAATTACAAACAACCAAATAAAAACAAATAAATGCCCCTTTACCTGCCCTTGTTGAGAACAGGCGCTGTTGTTTACATCATTGTGGTCATCTTGATCTATAAAAAAAAAAACAAAAAAAATACATCTAATAAATGAATACATTCAAACCACCATTGATCACATCATCACAATCACATAAAGAGTATAGTCCACAAAACAATTTTATCAACTGACCATTTACTTCATATGCTTCACGGGCTTCTCTCTCCAATCGCTGTCTCAGGAGCTCCTGTTGTTTTGCCAGATACTGCTTAATAAAGCTGTTCTGGCTCATTTCTTCACCAATCTATTGATAAAAACATAATATCTATATTAATATTCATTTTTCTGATCAACATTGTTATTGCAATCACAAGTGCATCAGCCAACGTGATTAAATTAGAAAAGAAAAACAATACATGAACCAATTAGCTACTATAAGATTCCCAAACAATTCTGAGCACTACCAGACTTTCAGTTATATGAATATATTGCATTATAGAATATGGGTAAAGTGTCAATTATAGTGTCTGGACTTTTAAAGGCCATAACTCAAAAACTAAAATGACTAACATAGATCAGAGAAAAAGATTCAGACATATCAAAGAGATATTGTGGATAAAATCAAAAGACAAAAGATTGACAAATGTATACATTGTTGGCGAAATTTTAAAAGACCAGATCAGCCTTTGATTTGATAAGTCAACTGTGACTCCAGTTACATAAAAAATAAAAAGTCATCAGTGTGACAAAGTGGCAGATGAACTCCCACAAGATTAACATGGCGTGAATCTAAATGAGCCTTGAAAAATGTGTAACAGATGTGATCTTTTCTCAATTTTTTTTCCTAAAAATTAAACTTAAAAAGTAGTTACACATTTAAATGTTACGACTATGTGTGAAAAAAAACAAAAACAAATCTATTATCAATCAAATGTGAAGCTCAAAGGATAATGTCCGTAACACAGATAAACATAGGCAGTATAGAAAACTTGACTAATGTATAAAACAGTTACCTTCTAGCAACTACTAATAGACAGAAGAGGTATTTGGATAAATGCAAAACATAATATATATTCTGATTTTTAAAATCTAATTTTTGTCATTCTGTCACAATTGTTTACCTTTTAGTATGAACAAGCATACAATGTTTTCTTATATTTCTGAAATAGCTTTTGCTTACTTGAAATGGGAGAAAAATTGAGAATAAATCTGAGATGAAACAATTGATGGTAACTAATTGAGAACATTAATCTTGTATACTCTATACAGATGTAAAAGTTGTGATATTTTGACTCATCCAGGGTATAAGCGTATACACCGAAGCAACATCAGTAAAATACTCCTATAAGGTATCGAAAATGACCCCAGATTTCACCTTTTACTAATTCTAATACTGCATTCTAACAACTAGAATAATACAATTTAAATAAAAAGATGCAGCCCACCACGCAACGACCGTTCCAATGGTGGAATCTCAAATTGGGGTCCAGAAAAAGAAGAAAAAATAAAACCTCAGATTAATAATTATGATTTGCCCAGGGACACATTGGAATGAAATTCAAAAAACTCAGACCTAATAAACTTCACGTCACATTTAGACAAGCAATGTCAAACCCAACCTTCTGAGCAATAGGCAGAAGACCCACAAGGGAAGTTGACTGGCGATGCAGAGATCCCACAGCAATGAGAGCCTAAAAAAAGAGGACTACACCACACAAAAACTCACATCGAAGATGTTTTTTGAGATCTCAGACAACACATAAGAAATCGGCACTCAAGCAGGATAAACATCAATCACTCCCATCCCCTTTAAGTCCAATCAGCCCCAATCTCAGGCCAGTTGGGATAACAACAACGCTATCTACCCCGAGCCTTTCAATAATCACGGACTGCTGAACGATCCACCCAAACCCAACAAGTCACAATCACCCCCACCCACACTATCACTTCAATGCAAATACACAAAACCTATAAAATGACCCCCAATGAGGCAACCCCCACATTCCCCTTTCAGAAGCAAATCGGCATCCACTCACACACGTGAACCACAAGACATATCAAGAAGTATAAGTCAATCCATACCCTCAAACTACAACGTCACACATGAATCAACCTGTTAAATCATATATTATCAACCCTAAACAAATAAGCCATTTAGATAAGATCTCGCTGAAATGTACCGCAAACCCTGCGAATAGTCAAACACAACACCCCAAAACCCACTGTGACATATAATACCCGCAAACATAAACACAACTAAACCCACCCAATATACACACGCAAACAACACCCAACAACACCCCAAACCTACATCCCATCAAAACACATACCTACAATCCGTCACCCCATTAATCAAAATAATCCCACCACCACTACCACCCCACAACCATCCACCCACCAAACTACCAAACCACACCACACCACCACAAAAATCCACAAACACCAACCCACAACACAACAAAACAACACCCCACCCCGAACCACCCACATACACAACACACCACCCACAAAACACAAACACCTCCACCAACACCACAACCCACAACCACAAATTCACACCAACCCCACCACCACCCCACAAACACACCCCACCACCCCCAACACCCACAACCCCAAAACACACTAACCAACAAACAGTCCCCCCCAACCCACACCACCCCATCCTCAAAAACACCACTACCACAACCCTCACATCACACACATACACCACCCCCAACCACCCCCCCACCAACACAAAACAACACACCCACACCACCCAACTACCCACAACCAACACCTCATCCCCTCACCCAACCCACACCCCCCCCAAACACCCCCAACCCAACAAACAAACACCACACCACCCCACCCACCAACACAACACCCCCACCACCCACACAACCAACACCCACCCCACACAACCCCACACCCCACACCCCACCCACCACCCACCACCCAACACCACCCCCACCACCCACCCAACACACCCCACACCACCCCCACCCAACACCCCCCCCACCCAACCACCACACACAACCCCCCCCCCCACCCACACCACCCCCCCACCCACCACCAACCCCCCACCCCCCCCCACCCCACCCCCACCCAACACCCCCCCCCCACCCCCACCACCACCAACACCCCAACCCCACCCACCCCCACACACACCCCCACCAACCACAACCCCCACCCCCACACAACCCCACCAACACACCACCCACACCCCCCCCCCCACCCCCCACACACCCCCACCCCCACCCCACCCACCCCCACCCCCACCCCCCCCACCCCCCAACCCCCACCCCCCACACCCCCCCCCACCAACACCCCCAACCCACACCCCACCACCCCCACACCACCCACCCCCCCCACCCCCCACCACCCACCCACCCACAACACCACCCCACCCCCACCCACCACCACCACCACCACCCCCCCCCACCCCCCCCACCCCCCCCCCACCACCCCACACCCCCCCCCCACCCCCCCACACCCCCCCACCCACCCCCCCCCACCCCCCACCCCCCCCCACCCACCCACCCCCCACCCCCCCCACCCCACCACCCCCCCCCCACCCCCACCCCCCCACCCCCCCCAACCCCCAACACCCCCACCCCACCCCCACCCCCCACCCACCCCCAACCCAACCCCACCCCCCAACCCCCCCCACACCACCCCCCACCCCCCCCCCACCCCCCACCAACCCCCCACCCCCACCCCCACACCACCCACCCCACACCACACAACCCCACAACCACCCCCACACCACCCCCACACAACCCACCAACCCCACACCCACCCCCCCCCCACCAACAAAAACAACCACCTCATCTCCCCCCCCCCCCCCCCCCCCCCCACCCCCCCCCCACCCCCACCCCCCCTCTAACACAAAAACATATCCCCCACCCATCCTCCCTCTACCCCACTACCCCCCCTCATCCCTCATCCAATTTTATAACCCACAACCCCCCCCTAACACCCCATTACACTCCCCTATTCCTCTATCCCCCCCTCTCCCCTCCCACATTTTATCTCTTCACTTTTCAATCACAAATTCCTCCACCATCTAATCCTTTATAAAAATACTTCCCATTTCTCATCCCTCCCCCTTCCCCATCCAAACAACCCTAACCCCAAACCACCCCTTAATATATCTATATATACCCCCCAAAACCACCTTCATCACCCTTCCTCAACTTATAAAAACCCTACCTCCATTCTCTATCTCGCAAACCACCCCCTCACTACCCACACCACCAAACCACCCCCCCACCCCCCCCCCCCCCCCCTCCCCCCAATCTCCCCCCCACCACGTTAATGACGCAGCGCACCCAAACAGCACAGAGAAACATCTCTCCCCCCCTCCCAACCCATCTCATTCTCTCCACTCGCTACACACGACCATCTCTCCCCCCCTACAAACCCCATCCCCTTCAACTATATTCGCTAGTATCTAGATTTGTTGTGTGTGTCCCTTTCCTAACAGCAACGCTCGATGTGTAGAGAGTCAGCCTCCCTGTGTGTGTGTGTGTGTCGCATCTATTCCCCATTCCCATACCCCCCTTTTATCACTCTCCCTCTCGCCTCTTCCCCCTCCCCCTCCAACCATCTTTTGTGGTGCCTCGCGCAGCGAGACGAGCTCAGTACTACAAACTCCACCACATCTCCCCTTCCCCCCATTCCCCCACCCCCCCCCCCCCCCCCCCCTATCTTCCCGACCTCCCCCCCCGCACGGCACCCTTTGAGCTCGTGTGTCGCACTGTATGTGTTTTGTTGTTGTTGGTGTTTCCTCGCGTGATAGAGAGTTATGAGATCGAACCCCCCCCCCCATATCTAACGCGAGAAAGAATTGAACAGGAAAATGAGCTCTAGAACAAGAACGCATTGAGCAAGAAAGAATTGAACAGGAAAAAGCTCTAGAACAAGCACGCATTGAGCGAGAAAGAATTGAACGGGAAAAGAATGACTCTAGAACAAGAACGCATAGAGCGAGAAAGAATTGAACGGGAAAAGCTATAGAGCGAGAAAGGAAAGAACGGGAGAGAAAGCTCTCGAACAAGAACGCATAGAGCGAGAAAGGAAAGAACGGGAGAAAGCTCTTGAACAAGAACGCATAGAGCGAGAAAGGAAAGAACGGGAAAAAGCTCTAGAACAAGAACGTATAGAGCGAGAAAGGAGAGAACGGGAAAAATCTCTAGAACAAGAACGCATTGAGCGAGAAAGGAGAGAACGGGAAAAAGCTCTAGAACAAGAACGCATAGAGCGAGAAAGGAGAGAACGGGAAAAAAGCTCTAGAACAAGAACGCATAGAGCGAGAAAGGGTTGAACGGGAAAAAACTCTAGAACAAGAACGCATTGAGCGAGAAAAAGCTCTTGAAAAAGAACGCATAGAGCGAGAAAGGAAGGAGCAAGAAAAAAGCTCTAGAACAAGAACGCATAGAGCGAGAAAGGAAGGAACGGGAAAAAGCTCTAGAACAAGAACGCATAGAGCGAGAAAGGAAGGAACGGGAAAAAGCTCTAGAACAAGAACGCATAGAGCGAGAAAGGAAGGAACGGGAAAAGCTCTAGAACAAGAACGCATAGAGCGAGAAGGGAAGGAACGGGAAAAAGCTCTAGAACAAGAACGCATAGAGCGAGAAAGGAAGGAACAGGAAAAAGCTCTGAGAACAAGAACGCATAGAGCGAGAAAGGAAGGAACGGAAAAAGCTCTAGAACAAGAACGCATTGAGCGAGAAAGGAACGAACGGAAAAAGCTCTAGAACAAGAACGCATTGAGCGAGAAAAAGCTCAAGAAGATGAGAGACTAGAGAGGGAGAGGAAAGAGCTCGGAGATGAAAGGGAACGACTAAAAAAAAGTTGAACATGAGAAACTAGAGCAGGAGAAAATGCAGAAAGAGACTCAAGCAATAGAGGAAGAGGGAAAAAAAGAATGACTGTACATTAGAGTTGGAAAAGAAAAGATTAGCCTCTGGAGTGACTGAAGTGGAGAAAGGGGGTCATTTTTCTCCCTCTCGCAAGATCAATACTGTCCTGCCCACTCCTACCCCCTTCTCTACAGGAACACCAACAGAAGCAGAAAGAAAGTGCAAAGGTGAAATACACGGTCCGGTTACCTGTGAAAGCCAACCAGAGGAGTCAAAAAAGTCGCCACCATCTTTGTTTAAAAAGTTTAGATTCACAAGAAACACCCCATTGCAACCACATGCAGGTTCCCGAGTTATCAAGAGACCTCGCACTTTTTCAGATAATCCGCAGTATACTGCTAATGTTGTCTTTGATAGTAATGCTGAAAGTGAACTGCAAAAAGATACATCTGCAGATTTTGATGCCTTGGAAAGGGTGGCGTCAATGATAACACAGGATGAATCATTGAACATTATTAAAGAGGACTCAAATCTTGCATTGGACGACAAGAATGAAACTAAGAATGCAGTAAAAGGATCTATTAAAACGGTTATAGACAGTAATGTGTGTCCTTCAAGCACGTTGATTTCTTCTGAAAGAGGAAGAGATGGGACAAAACTGAAGAAAAAAGACACAAGAAGGTCTTCATCAAATGAGTCGTCTTCATCCGAATCTGACTCATCTTCATCTCGTTCCACTGGTTCATCATCATCCTCTTTTGTAGAGAAAAGAACTCTCCTCTCACAGCCGCACACAGTGAGTACACCTTGTTTGGAACTTAATTTTTATTTTAAAAAGTATAATAAAACTATCTGTTTTCATAGGGAGAGTCATTATCCCTTCATGTTATTGAGGTCTCTAAAGGGCAAGAGAAGAATTCTCCGCCGCAAATGGAAATGACTGAGAGTGCACCACTAAATAAAGCCAGTGTCTCCCAGGTAAATACATTTTTTTTGCAGAAAATAAATGGTATCTTGAGTGTACTAAATATTTTCATTTAAACCTTTCAGCTTAATCAGGCACCCATCCAAGATGACAGCCAAGGAAGACACGGCAGTGATCATGAGAAGGAAAAGCCTGAAAGGAGGTCTGCAAAATGTTTACACTTCATTATTGACACATGCATTACATCTTTCTGATATTTCTATTCATAGCAATTATCTTCAAAATCATGAATATCCAGGTCTCCTATCCCCATTAGAGTTTAGATTATTCTGGCTTTGCCGACGAAGATGGAGAGGCTCTTTGGTCATCATTGTTGTCTCATGTTCCTGTGAAAGGGAAAGACATATTCTTTTTTTCAGGCAACATTGCAGGATATTAAATTGTACTATACCTTACATTTTAGAATGAATGTTTTACTTTTATTGTTTTGTTTTTAAGTATTTTTAAAATGACATTTGTGATTTTACAGTCAAGGAGAGCATGCTGTTTCAGTTCCAGAGAAGGGTGCTGAGGGCAACAATGAAGTAAGTCTCTGGAGGCTGTTTTAATCTACTGGTCAACTTGCATGAGTCCATGTGTGGCCTGCCGAACATACGCAAGTTAAAAAAGCTTGTCCATAGGCTTTGCCTGAACCCACCGCTGAAAAATCAAGGCTGTGTTGTCACTGACAGTGAGGGGCTGGTGCTCTGTGAATTGCGTGGCAGCTGATCTTTCTTAAAAATGCAAAAAACTAAAAATAATAAACAATGTTCTGTTTGATTTGTTCACAACATTTTACTTTTGGGCACAACCAACATGATTATGCATTATTAATGCAAGGAAAAATGTAGGTACCACTGCTTTAATTTGAGGCGACCGTAGCTCAGTTGGTAGAGCGTTGGCCTTTGAGCCAGAAGGTTGCGGGTTCGAGCCCACCTCAAGACTTTCACCATCGACTCCTGCTGTCGTCGTGTCCTTGGAAAGACATTTTACCTCTGGGAACACCAGCCACAATGGGGCGACTGGGGCCGTAAAGTGCCAAACTGCCGTTGTGTCCTTAGGCAAGACACTTCACCCCCATTGCCTAGAATGAGTCTGGTGTGTGTGTGTGTGTGTGTGTGAATGGTTGGTGGTGGTCAGAGGGGCCGATGGCACATACTGGTTGCCTCACTTCTGTCAGTGTGCCCCAGTGCAGCTGTGGCTACAGTAGTATATCACCACCGTGTATGGAGTGAAGGAATAATGACATGTAAAGCGTCTTTGAGTGTCCAAAAAGCGCTATATAAAACTGATTTATTATTATTAATTTAGAGACATGGGGAGGACATGGACACTCCCTTAAGGATCCGTAGTCCAGCTCTGTTCCTTGCAGTAACACAATATGTATGTATTTATTTTGCGTTACGCAAAGACACACACTTGCAATGGTCTGCGCTGGGTACATTATGACCACGTTCGGCTACGTGCTTGCCGCGTTGTTGTCAAGGAGCCGCTGTCATTACAAACATGGCTATGGAGTCAGAACTCCGCTGCTGCTTTCCCGTTAGAGTACGTACAGCAAACGGCAGCAAGTGCCTCAAGATTACACACACACCCTCACTGGAATTGCACCACGCCCCCCCCCTAGGGTTGAACGCCCCACTATTTGAGAAGCACTGGTCTATGTGAAGTACGCAAAGGCGCTTACTAACTCAAGTGATAGTACGCATTTCTGATATTTGTCGCGCATGCGTACCACTTACGTGCATCCCTGGCTATAGAAACGTAAAAGTATAAATCTGTCTTTAGTTAAAGCTGCACTAACTGACTTAAGGATTTTGAAGTTGCGAATCTCCCAATATGGATAATACATGGATATGGATTTGCACGTGGATGGCGTGACCATAGAACGATAGAACCGGGAAGCGCGGAGGAACGAGACTTTCTTTTGGATGGCTGTCTCGCTGTGTAAGCAGTAACCGGTGACGAAGACGAGGAAGCTTCAGGTTAGCTCCTCGCCTTGTTGTGCTAACTCAGCTGTCTGTGCTAACGGACCTGTAGATTTCTCACGAAAGTGGGGGCTATTGGTGCGCTGTGATTGGTCACAATCTGCGACCCGAAACACATTCTCTTCCTTGTTTCATCAAAACTCGATCTAAAATATAATGTCACGCCAGCACAAATCTGCGCTACTTTTTCTTCAAAAGGACGTATATCCCAATGCACTACATGGACATGGATAGCATTTTTGTAATGAATACAAAAATAAAGTCAGTTAGTGCAGCTTTAAACACAAGTTTTGTGGCACAGGTGGGTATTAGCTGAGAGGGCTTTCACTGCAATTACGAGTACCAGTATATTTTGTCATATCACTCTGGAGGACAAAAAAACATTGGTCTGACGCCGCCGATGTGGTATATTGTATTACTCCTGCTGTCCTTTTGTCCTTTTCCTATAGATTCCCACTAAACATTTCCCTTGTGCTCTTGGTCTTGTTATGTCCTTTGTTACAGACACCCAAAGCATTCTCAACTCGTAAGATCTCTCTTAGCAGTGAGTAACCCTTCCATCCCTGTCAAAATCATATAGTGGCATTTTTTATTATAATGTATTTATTTGCATCAAGGCTTTGATGCAATGGGAATTGTGGTTTTCTGTGTAAAAATAGAAGACACTTGTTTGTCTACTAGGCAGCAAATCTTCACCTGGCAGTACAGAGAATGAGCACGAGTTGGGGTCTGCAGGTGGTCGTAAAAGGCGGTGGGGCTCTAGTACAGCTGTCACTGCAAAAAAACCTTCTATCAGCATCACTACAGATTCTCTAAAGGTAAGCTGCTTTATGGCGTTCACTTTTATCAAGCTCAATAAATAATGTAAAAAATATTTTGGCACCAAACGTTGATATTTGAATTTAATACCAGTGTTGTTTCTCACAGTCATTGATTCCAGACATCAAACCAGCCTTAAACCAAGAAATTATGGACCTTGACGCTGAAGATCCGGTCCTGTCTGAAACTGACGATGAGGACAAGGACCATGCCGACCAAGATCTCCAAATCTGCCGAACAGTGACACAAGTTAGTATATATTTTATGCAGAAATTAATAGGATTGTTTCTGATCATTATCCCTTCTTTCCCCCGTTCTACTGAAAGATTGTAAATGTGGAGAACAAAGAGAATGGTGAAAAAGAAACAAAAGGACTAGAAGAGTTGGAGGAAGATGTACAAGATGAAACTGAGACCAAAACCTATGATGAGGATCCAACATTGCAAGCCATACAAGCACACTCTCCATTGTGCACTCCTCATGAAGAAGTTAACACTGGTATTCAAATAATCCCATATATTAAATACGGTTACACATTTGTTTTGATGCAGATTATCTATTACTAGAATCTCTCAATCAATTATTTTTCTTTGCAGTGACTCCTAGAGATAACAACATTCGTCGTTCAATCAGCCAACAGAAAATGGGTGTCTCTATTACCATTGACGATCCTGTGCGTACTGCTCGACAGCCATCACCACCTCGGGGAGATGTTTCTAATATTGTTCATGTGTGCAACCTGGTAAATTAATTCCTATCAAATTCAAACTTTCATGTCTGTGTAGATCCAACAATAACAGTGTATTTTTAGGTAAGGCCATTTACACTGGGACAACTCAAAGAACTGCTCAGCAGAACAGGCACTCTTGTGGAAGATGGTTTCTGGATTGACAAGATAAAGTCTCACTGCTATGTCACTGTAAGTCACTTGTCTTTTTCCTGAATATAATCATAACATATGAAACGTTTTTAAATGTTTGTGTTTAGTATTCAACCTCTGAAGAAGCAGTTGCCACAAGGCAAGCCCTTCATGGTGTGAAATGGCCTCAAAGCAACCCAAAGGTTCTTAGAGTAGATTTTTGTCAGCAGGATGAGGTAAATGAAATTGGCTTAAGATCACCAGTGTTGTTATTGTAATGTTTTTTTCTTTTTAACATTTTTTTGTTTTATCTGGATTCAGTTGGACTTTCACAAAGGTTTGAATTCTGCCGAAGGACCCAGAGTTGGAGTATTTAGTCATGGTCAAAGTCTTCACCCACTCCTCCCAGTGAGAGACCAATGGGCTGAGCGTGAACGTGAAATGGGCCGTCGGGAGCAAGCAAGAGCAGACCGGGAATGGGACCGGGATAAGATCCGAGAATTTGGAAAGACCCCAGAAGAGAGGGAGGCAGGTGCACATAGATCTAGGTCTAGAGAGAGACGCCGTAAGGATAGAGAAAAGAGCAAGGAGATGAAAGCCGAGAAGAAGGGTAAGTGTTAGGTTCAGGTGTACTTTATTTATACCTGTAGGTCTGTGTTGGTCTGATCAATAAGAGATGTAGGCTATGAAATTGCACACTGATTTTCATTTCTTGGTATTTTTAACAGACAAAACAGAAGATCCACCGGCTAAAATGCTTGATGATCTCTTCAGAAAAACGAAAGCAGTTCCTTGCATATACTGGCTTCCCCTCACAGAGGAACAGGCAAGACACAAATGTCATATTTAATTGGGTTAAGATGATCATGATTCTAATTTGTCCCTCCTTCTATATAGTATCTTCAGCGTGAAACTGCAAGAATTGAAAGAAGGAAAGAGCGCGAACAGCAACGAAAAAGGGAAGAGGAGGAAGCGGAGCTGAAGAAAAAAGAAGAAAATAAGGAGAGAATGAGAGCTGGAGGTGGCATTACGGTTGATCGCAGTGAGGCCGATAAAGACAAGATCAGAGACAGAGAACGAGCCAGAGACCGAGGTAGGGAAAGGGACAGGGAGGCGGACAAACGCAAAGAGGGTTATCGTAGGCCTGGTGGCTACGCACCCCCTAGTGGACGGCGTTCGCGCAGCCGAAGTGACCCCCGAGAACGTAGGCGCTAATGGAAAATTCTTAATGGAACTCAAAAAAACCATACTTCCGTTTGGTTTTTACTATATGTAAATGGATAAGACAGAAACATTAACGGAGGACCAACTGATGTCACAGCATCTCTAGAATTCTTTTTAATTATAACATCTGCACCTACATGCGATCACACTTGAGGGGACCATTATTCTTTTGCAGTGTTTTCCAGAATGCTGTACGTCCTTCCTTTGTCAAGAGTCAAGTTCTTTTCTATGTTTGCCTTATTTTGTCTTGACAGGATTGCGTTATAGCACTGGGTAATTAAGTATCCTCTGATGTTCCCTGTTGCTGCTTGTATGTACAAATGTAGGTGTTGACTAACCCCGCAATCAGAGATCCAGTTCTTGAGTTGCTGTTGTCAGAATGTTATGGAGCACTGGTCTAAAAGAACATATGTGATTCTTTTCAGCTGCATTTAACCTAAATCTTTGGAGGAGGGGGGGGGGGGGGGGGGGGGGGTGGGTGTGGTAACATTTTGTACAGAAAAAAAGCCAAGTCTGTAAATGAGGCAGCTTTGGAATATTTTTGGACGGGTGTATATTAACAACCATGGTATTGTAGTGTACTTCTCTCCTTGCCAACTCTTTATGGGCTCTGTTTATAATTATTTCCTTAACATTTTAATCTGTTCCATTCTTCCTCATCCCCCCTGTAGTATGCATACAGGATTCAGGAGTACACTCACTTTAAAACCAATATTTTAATTGCCATTTTATCATTTTAGTACGTTTTTGTTTTCTTTAATTACGCCTCTTGGTGAATGTACAAATAAAATTGAGACTTAAAATCTTTTTATCATTTCCTAGTTGCCTTGTTGCTCTTATGCTCTTGTAAAGTTATAAATATTTGCCTTGAAAGTTGGAATTTTTCATGTGTTTCATGCTAAAACTACACTATTTAGAATTTTAATAAGCCATTCTATCCCAATATTAAGTCAATTATTAAAGGAGCGGTATGTAGCTATTTCTTTTTTGCTCCTACTTGTATGACGTGATATTGATACAAGTGAAACCTTTTGGTGTCATGTTGAACACAGGCTCTTCTAGCAGTGATAACTGATGTACTCCAGGTGGTGGTGTTAACCCAGAAACCAAACACACAGAAGTTCACCAAGGAAACTATCAACCCAAATTGGAGACTGCCTCAGCTTTGAGTGGATCATCTGCTTAAGAAATGTTAACAAAAACAATGCAGCCATAATTTGTATAACCATCACAAGGGGGGTTATCCTTAAGAGATCACTCACGCATTGCCTTTCTTATTTTTTAGAATGACCGAGTCTTGACATAATCCTTGCGGAGCTCAGCAGTGCTTCTATGTAATTACTTCTCCATGGTCGCTGAGCTGGACATTTTTCTGGCCTGATGCAACTTGGACATAGAGAATCAAAATCAGTCAGCCTGGTATCTGTTTCAGACAGTTTGCTCAGATCAATCACCTAAAATGTGAGCAGTCTGATGCTTTGCTGTAGAAATAGATAGAAATATGATTTTTATATATATGTATATATAAGACTTTGAGAGTCCAAAAAGTGCTATATAAAACCGATTTATTATATATAATGATTTGGCCAAGTCCAAATCTTGTGTTTCTGTCCTTTGAGGACATTTAAACTTGTTTTTTGTTTTTTTTTTACAGTCATGTAGTTTTTATGAAACCACAGTTGACGGCTGCAGACCACCAGAATCAGGTGAATGGTTTGGGTCAAAATTTCAGGCCTCTTTAGGTCTGTTTAACCTAGTACTCAGCTGAGCTAGGCAACTCTAATGCTGATCTAAAACAACATGGTTTGGCTTTGTAAGCACTATTTTTCTCTTGCATTTTTAAAGTCTAACCAGAGAACGTTTTGTTCTGTCAACTTTCAAATCAATGTTATGGACTTAAAGTTGATAGTTCAATTCAAAGCAGGTCCATAATATTAAGTTAAGGGTTGAATTCACTCATGTGGTTTATGAACACTCCCTCCCCTATTGTCTGCCACATGATCACATGTATCTGCTCATGAAAAACAGATGCTTTAGAAGGAACTTGTTGTTAAATGTGAGTGTTTCTTTCTTGTAAAAGGAAGCGGAATGTTTACGCACCTCTCGACATCAATAGCAAATTCGAGCATGTGAACTAAAAGTACAGAAACTCTTCTAGCTCAACTTGCTACATGTTGCTTGTCCAGTCTGAATCAGCAGGATGGGGTTTTCCTGTAGGGTTTGAAACCACCCTGTATCACCTTTTTGAGAGTGCTTAGGTTGGAATGGAAATGAAAACGTCATTAAAATATACAGTGTATACACTGAGGAAAGAAATCATGATGATACAAAAAACATGTATCGGGCAAATCAAAGCATTTGTTTTAATGATGCACTTTAGTTTGAATTGAAACCTTTAAATGAGAAAAACAGTTGTATTTTATGTGATTTAATTGTATTATTCATTTATTTTACCAATATTAATGTTTTGATTCACATACCTTAACTTTTATAAATGTTTTTTCATCTCAGTGAAGCTAGATTTTAGAATTAGGTTTTTAAATGGGTAACAAGGGTCCTGCAGATAGAAAAAAAAGTGTCCCAATCCAATTGAATAAACATTGAATTTTTGTATACTAAGAAGTTGCCCCGTGGGACACTATTTATACTAGTCATGTTAATGTAGTGGTTTTCTCTTGTCACAGAGAAAACCACTACATTAGAGGCTTGTTTGACTAATGCCACTCACTCTTATGACCTGGGCCACCTATTCACTAACACTGCTTTTACTTTGTTTGAATGTGGATAAAGCTACAGTGCTTTTGCGTAGGCCCTTGCTTCTTAATTATTACCTTCCAAAAATGGTCTGCATTATTATATCAAACATACCTTTGTAGTCTTTAATCATGGAATCTTTGTTTTAAACAAAAGCTGACCATCTGCAGAGCGTGTGTGAATTTATTGCATTTGTTTTAGGTTTTTAAAAGCAAGTCTATAAACCCCTTCCGTTTCCAAAAAAAATCTTGACTTCAAGCAACATTTATATCTTATTCTTAATAGAGTCTGTTTCTGCATGATCAATAGGTAATAGTTGTCTTTGGATACAGTATTTATGGTGGAAGTACAATTTATTTACTATGTTCACTTTTGAACTAGAACCCATCCCCCTCTGAGTCCTGCTGCGCTGTCGGCCATAAGGGGCAGTTGGAATTCCAGATGTTCTGAATTCTGCTCCAATTCTGGCTTCCAAACGTGATCTAGCGCTCCTTGTTACTCCTCCTACCTCTTTCCTACCCGAAATACTGTGAAGTGCCTCGTGATCAACATCTGCACCCCCAATTCCAACAAAACACTAGCTGAACTCAAATTGATCGCTGTAAATCTTTCCGGCAAAATGTGGAAACTGGTCATTATTAAAATTGCCATATTTACATGTGTGTTGCCCCAGTTGCAATCAAAAGACACCAGCCACAGACCTATACCCAGTTCTATTATCAGGCTATTTTCCAACTTTTATTCAAGAATGGATAAAAGTCAACAGTTTCTGCATTTTTAGTAAGTCACCAATATTTATCTGAAATTAAGGTAATCAACAAAGGTTATAGCTCACAATAACTTGTCTTTTCCCATTCAAATTGAAAGTCCTAACATGAATAAAACTTTCTGAAAATCTGTTTTATCACATGATAGTATTCTTCATACATGTTATAAATTGTTCCTAGTGTGTAGAAATCACGTAACAATCCTTCTCATCTCTGTTTCTACTTAAGCTTTGGATGCAGTCTGAGTTTCCAACCTAGTTTTATAGTCTGCCAGTTTCCGAGCCCCACTAACCATCAATGGAGTATTTCGAAGCAGGAAACCTCGAGGTCCAGAAAGCCGAGAAGTATCATAGTAGTGATAAGGACCCCTTTTCACAAATCTAAATCAGTGGAAAAGGTGAATATTTGTGGAAACCAATTCTAAGGTTGCAGATTATAAGAAAGGCTTGCAGGTTTAAGTAGTTATCATTTTGTAAACTTCAAAGGTCTGTAAATTGTGAATTCCGGACAACCAGCCTCAGTATTTCACATGCTTTACTAAAATGAAGGCAAGATGTACCCTTGAAAGAAAAAATGCATATAGTTTCCTTAGTTTACTATAAAATAGAAAAGAAAAATGAGAACCATGAAGAGTTTGCATTGTCTTTATTTTGCAATAAATTTTAACTGAAAAAACAGTTACAATCGTCACAAAAATGTCAATTGTTTGACTAATACCTGAAGTCCAAGAACAAGAATGAACCCTTTTGCTGTTTTCTGATTTTCTTATTATTTTTTTCCATTTACTTAAAAGTCAGTCAAGTTCCAGGAACATTATACCCTATCCCGTTATCCCCACATTCAGACCACTTTCAAAACTGTATGTCACTGTCCAGCAGGACTTTTTAATGACAAAAAAACAAACAATAAAAATAGTAAATATCACAATTGAAAATTGCCTAAGACATGAAAATAACACCCAGTTGTGCTCATTGCTTAACTCGGAGGTATCCAAACGTTTTCACTGAGGTCCAAAGCAGAGGGCCAAAGACTGGTGGACAATACAGTGGACTGACACCCCTGGATTTTTCTCCAATTGGTGTAAAGCCCTTGCTCCAAAAATATATTTCTAAGCCTAATCAAGTGAGTGCTTGCACAAAACAAAGTAACATGCTAGAATAGGGTCAAGACAATTCAGACTAAAGTAGACATTTGTATGAAACAAACACTGTTCACGCTGGGGAAAAAAACATGGGCAAATCTTTGAAAAAAAAAGCAAGGATAAAAAACAAAGAGCTGGCATCAGTAACCACACGCAAAGAATCATAGCAAAGGGGAGGAGGAAAAGTGATAGAGAAGAACTTTGTAGTGGTATGGGGTTTTTTCAGATTTGCATGTCTTGCATTTCTGCTCTGTCTCTTGTTTGTTCGCTTCTATCTGCAGAAACTACATCGCTCATTTTGTTATCCCTTTGTCGCCTTTTATTCCACCCCCCCATTTACACTTTGTCCAATAAAGATCGTTGGCAGTAGAGGAGTCGGCGTGGTGTACCATAACGTCTGAAAAAGACCAGTGCCGCCAGTGTTGCAATCACACAAACTAGAAGGAAGAGAGGCACCACCACAGCTGCAGCTCCACCCCCACTACCTGGTCCTCCGTCTTCATCCACCTCAATGATGATCACTTCTGTCTCCTCTTCTTCCCTCTCTCGCTCTCGCTCTCTTTCTCTGTGCCGGTCTTTGTCCTCTCGCTCCTTGTCCTTCTCACGTTCCTTGTCTTTGTCATGTCCGTCGCCGCCTCTTCCCCCATCCGTTTTTGGGTCTTCATTGGGACAGCCCATCCAGTCACGCAGCACAGATTTGGGGTATCCAGGTTCCACACGCATCATCTGGTTGTTGAACTTCCAGTATTTGTTGGATTTGTAGAAGTAGGTGTATGCTGAAAGTTGGGAAACAATAAAGAAAATTTGAAAATTCTGCCCAAGCAGCAAACTAAGGCAAATGTGGGCTGTTACCTTGGTCTTTGCTCATGAAGGCAGCTTTAACGTTGTCAGGAACTCCCTGCCACATACTGACAGCTTTTGGATAGCCATCGTCAACAGATCGTGATTGTTCATTAAAGCGGTAATACCTAAAATTAAATGTAAAGAATAGTATTTAGTTTTATTGTAGAATTAATAAATGTAGCGATTTTCCAAAACTAACAAGTCACTTGAAATTGTTTCTGACATGATGCAAAATGAATAAAAATCCACTAACTTGCTGCCTCTAAAATAAAATGTTTGTCCTGTCGGAGTGTAGAAGAGTGCTGCATCTATTCGATCTTTAGGAAGTCCAGAACCCATTTCACGCAGAGTTCTTGGGAAACCCAAGTCTAAGGTTGACTCACTAAACACCCAATATTTTTCACCTGCAGAAAGGATAAATGATCAATACATATTACAATAACTAGGAAAAAAAAAATGTACCTTTGAAAAAAGCAAATTTTCCATCTTCTCTTTCAAAAGCCGCATTGATATGAGTAGGCAATCCTCTCCAGAAGTGGCCAATAGGCATCGGATATCCATCCATAACATGGTTGTTTCGTACTCTCCAGAACCATTTATCCTGAAAAGATAAAAAAAAGAGAATTACATAACTTTTTTTCTCAACTATATAGTAATAACCGTCATGCAGTAGCTGTGTTACATTAACTGCATTTTGTATAATGATTAAACCATGTAACCAATAAATCAAATTAACAAATAATGTATAAACTACATTAAATATCAAGAGTGTCAAAGTCACGTTGTTGGGGGTTGAATCCTTGCCTGGGGAGACCCATGCTGCTGTTTGCTGTGTTTCAAACTGCACAAAATTATATATTGTGATACAATTTTTTTAACATATTCATTATTCACTGATTCTAATTCAGGTGTTAACAAGGCTAGTTGAATCCCATGACCAAACAAATAAAAGTGGATTTCTTCTGACATTTTCTCATCTGTTAGATTTTCAGAACAAAAAAGTATGTTTTGTCTGAACCAAAACTGAACTGAAAGAAAAGAAGGCTTAATTGATATTTTGTATTCCACTACGTATTTTTTATTAAGTCAAGAGGTAAAAATTGTATAATAAATGAAAATACGTGGTTTTTCTTTCAATAGTAGCTCTTTCCAATTAAGTAATAACCATAGAAATTGAAAAGGATTTCAAGGGCCACCGTGTTTTTATGTTTGCCATAGTACCTTGAATACAAACATTTCTCCTCTCAGAATGGCAATTGTGTCAAAGTGGCCTTCACAGATGTTTGGGCCAAAGCGAGGTTTTCCAGGGGAGTAAGGAGCTTGTGTTGGATCATTTGGTGTGTGAGGTGTATCATGAGGAGAGCCAGAGCCTACAAACAAAGTAGATAAAGCATGTTCAACTTAGAGATCATTCAAAAGTATCTCAATTTTTTAAAATATACGCACCGTAAAGTTGCTGGATTCCTTTGCGGTCATCATCAGGAAGTTGGAAGTTGTCAGTGTCCATCCACTGATAGAATGGTGCCATTATTGCGGAAGGGTCATTGGAGTGCTCCAAACCCATAGCATGGCCCAGTTCATGTACAGCAACCAGGAATATGTCATTACCTTGAAAGAAAAAGCAATTATTGTGATTAGTGTAATCAAACAACTGCTTGAAAAGGTCACAGAGTTGGAAAGTAATACGTATTTAGTTACTATTTTATTATTAATGGGGCGGGGGGTGGATTGAAAAACTCGCACTGCTATAGTCACTTTTAATTTTATTGTGTAATATATCTTGCACCAAAGAGATTATATTTTGATTTATATATGTTTGAGTTATTCTATTTAAGTTTATCTTATCTAATCTTGGATGACTGGAGCCTTTTTGTGGACAAACTCCACTCAGGAATCGAACCCAGGACCTTCTTGCTGAGAAGTGAGAGTGCTAACTACTCAGCCACCATGTTGCTCCATTAAATATGATTCAACATAGTTCTGATGGCATGGTCAATAATTCTACTACTCAGGAATAACCCCTCCTGTATTTGTTTGATAAAACAACATCTGGATGCAAATGGAGTTTGACTCAGCATCTCTGCACAGAATGAGTCGCTTAAATAAAATCACATAATTGAAGGAAATCTCGTAAATGTTCTGCTTTTCAGAATAGTCTTACCCAATAAGTCTCGGTTTCCAATAGTCCATGGCTCAGCTAAATCAAAGTGAGTGTCTCCACCAATGCCATTTCCAGGAAAATAGGCATGAGCCAGGAAACCCCCTTCTCCATCAAAAGGACTGCTGTCACCATGAAATCCTTCAGCAAAGAAGATCATAATGTCGGCAAAATCCTCCACTTTGTCCCGGATGTAACTGTAGGGGATTTCCCTGAACCGGAGAGGGGTCACACTCTCCCAGACTTTGAAAGCTCTTCGGATTGCTTCATGAGTTTCATGCTCGCCCACCTTTGGAGTATAGTTCTGGATACTGCACGACAGCAGAAATAAAGACTTACTTATTTGAAAATGCACACAATCTAACTGCATATTCTTGCAACTTACGAAAAAGTTAAGTCATTTTTGTTCCACTTCAAGCCTTGCACAGCATATCTCTTCCTTCTCAGATTACTTTTGAGCTCTGAACCAAACTTATCAGGAACACCACAGCGTGGTCGCTTCATTGCCCTTTGTAAAAATAAAACGTCAATTTATGACAAAAGCACAATGTTTGTGTGTGTGAAAAGTACTTCTTCTACTTACTCCACCGTGTTTGTATCAAAGGTTCCAGTGACAGTGAGGCCGTAGAATCTCTGCATACTGGCAATTGCTGATGTGATAGAGTTGGGAGATCGCAGAGAATGTGTCCGCAAATCTCCTGGGGGTAAGTACCCATACTGCTGCAGCCATGTCTGTTCGGAAGGGAAGAGACAATAATGTACCTCTTTCATAAAATATACTGAGACCTTAAAATCATTAACGTTCAGATTCAAGTTCTCTTTTCAGCCATGAAATAAACTTCCTTTCCCTTTGAAATCTTTGAGAATCAGTTTTATATAGGTGATTATCGTTTTCCACCCACATGTGAGCATAATGACCAGGGTCTGTCATGTGTGATGGCTGCAATGTTATATTGATTTACAGACTCTTCTGTATCCTTAATTTTCCTATCTGACCTCTGCTTGAGTTCAACAATTAAAAGCCATTAGTACAATGAGCTGTTGCTGCTTTTGGATCTTCCTTATATTTTATTGGGGTTTTTTTTTCCACGAACCACATGTGATTTGTGTCAACACATTTGTGATTTGTGGGCTTTCTTCAGTTCTGATTTCTTCAAAATAGATTCATCTTTCTAATGAATCTTCGACCAACCTGCACCCCTTCACAACTACCTCCTCTCCCTCTTGTCTCATGAACTCCTCAAAAGCATACTGACCTATTTAACACCACACCCACAACAGACAGTGGATGTAAATCTCACCTGTTGGCTGTGATGAACAAGAATGTTTTGATTTCGACACATAAGTAAAAGAGTGAGTGCATAAACCACTTACCCACTCCTACGGCCATGACACAAAATGATGAAACACTAATTATGTGTGTTGTAATATTTCTAGATAAAGCAAAAGCATACTCTTTTCACACCTTTTCTTTTTTACTTGAAACCACAATAAAGACATATAGCCTGCTTGTAGATGCAGATTTGCAAATGATTTTTTTTATACTTGTACTACTGTTTTGTCATTATGATACCCTGGAAATATAAAATCAAGCATTTTAAGAGGCAGATTTGTGGAGATTCAAGCCTGTCAGGTATTTCCATACGCAATGGGAGACATCATCATGCTAATATCTCTGTCACTTTGTCTGTTTTAGGAAAGCAGAGATTTTTTCTGGTTGTGCCTCACCCATGCAGACATGAAGGCGTATTAAAGTTGATTTACACCATTGCCAAAGCGAGGAGTAGAAGGAGGAAGAGGTGAGGTTAGTCAGAACAAGAACTTCTATCTATAATAGTGCTGATTCTTGTCCAACTGAAATAACTTATTTTTGAAATCAGCTCAGGCAAAAGGAGTCCATTGTTACAATTCTTGTTACAATAAGTCACTCCGAAGTCACAACTACAGTCATTCTGAAGAGTTAAATCGTTTCAGTTTGGGCTGGAAGCTGCTGAGTTCGTGTGCGGTGACTTAAATGTTTAGTGGAATATCTACACGCATAAAGCAATGGTTGCTATGCATGTCAGGGCCGTGCAATGGACAAGGAAAAGTGACAAGGATCATATTACAGAAAAGAAAGAAGTCAGTATTTCCATTTACTAAAAACCAATGGGAACCAATAATGATGAGACAAAGCTGTATTCCCTGTATAAAAATCTATCCCATATAAGAACATGCCTTTATATCCACGAGTGTGGTACTCTATTGTAAACATTCAATGGGTCAAACAGCCACAATACATCACCTCTTCCATCTGTGTAAATACCAGTGGTACAAGAATATTCTAAAATATAACCCAGTGTTTTTATAACCCTGTTTATATATTTTATATACTGCAAGCAAGCTTGGATTTTCCCAGACAACCTGAAACTTGAGGGCAGAACTCATTATTGGCATCCTGCATTGTACTCTTGTGAACTGGAAATTATTCATGATTTTACTCATTACTCTATTTCCCTGAACTTTTATTTAGGAAATGGTGTAGAAAACCCTTTAGTGATGACTTTGAAAATACTTCCTTTGACACTTACTCAAACTTAAGAAAGTTGAAATCTAAAAAAAATGATGTGTAGTGTAAAATGATTTGCCCCAAATAAGAGCTGAGATCATTTAAGAGTAGCAAAAAACGTTCTTTATATTCTCAAGCCTTGTGGATGTGTCTGCATGTTTAATGTTTTATTGTATTGTCTCTGAAAAGCACATTACTCTGCAGTCAACGTATGAAATATGATAGATAAGTACAATTCTTTCCTTCTTCCCAGACATTGGTGAGTTTTTTTTTAAGGCATGTTGTTTAGATTCCAGAGAAAACTATGGTCAATCAATATTCCCCCGATAATGTAATGTGAATATCAAGCCAAAAACTCTTTTTGATTCTCTATGGATGTAATAATTGTTGTGTAAAGAAGCCTACACTGTACTGTGTAGGAGTTCACCTCACTAGGACAATATTACAGCGTAATAAACACTATTGCCTGACCAGGCAGAACCCGTTCTGTGTGTGTCAGAATAGTTACAGATCAGCAGAAATCTAGAAAGCACTGAAAGTAAAGATAAAAATAAATCACTGTAATAAATAAATAAATATAATCTTAAAATTAACCTCAAATCTGTAAATCTTATTATTTTACCAAAGTATGAACAATAATAGCAGTACCCTATGGAATAAAAGTACCCCATTAGACAAATTAGGATTTCAACTTGTTTACCCCATGTGCATAGTGTTAGTGTAATCAGTAATCATATAATCACATCTTACTAGTTCATTTAAGGATGATCTGAAATATTCTCCAGTTTAATTCTGAACCCCCTCCCCCATTGGCCAGACCAAGATCAGGGCAGATGTCAGCGATTATATTTGCCCATCCCTCAGCTGATGGGCCTCTTTCTTCTACAGTGGTCACAAAATTTCCCCCAATCTCTTACCCTGCCCACAATATAAGCTATTTTACCAGATGCCTTTTCTCCAATGTCTTTTGTTTTACTGTCTCAGCAAATTTTCAACCCTTTTACAAGCACAATCATCATGATTTCCCGTTTCCTCTTACCCTGGGTCACAGCTCTACTCTGAAATTCAGCTGACATCATCCTTAATCAAAACATGTTAAGACTCAACAAAGACTAAATGTATTCTTGACTCAAAGGTCAGTTTACTGTGGACTAAAGGACAGATTGTGGATTAATGGGCTATCATAGTTTGTGTCTGTGTAACAATGGCTTCATTTCCCTTAATCAACCATTATCAAATCTCAAATTACAAAGATTTTAAACAGGATAATGTTGGTGAGGTTAACTAAGTGCATATTTTATCATCTAGATGTAGTTTAATTTTCAGTGTAAAGTGAGGTACCTAACTTTGAAGAACGATGTTGTGATCAAACCAATTTAATTAGCTCACAAAACTGTATGGTTCTTTCATTAGTTTTCACATGCATGCCTTTTTGGCCTTTGTCACATCTTTAGATTATTTTCAGTGAAAATGAGAGTACCAAAAATACCACAAACGTTTTGCTTAAAAATAATAATGATAAAAAAAGGTACTCCAGCTGTATTCTTATTAAGCATTCCTATTTATCACTCATGCTTATTTGTTTTTTATAAATGCATAGACTGTCTAATAATTTAATTTAAAATACCTCCGGGTTTACATGTCGCTCCGTGGCGGCTTGAGCGCGGATCTCCCAAGAAAGGGCCAGCAGAAGGAGTCGAACCAGACACTTCAGCCGTGGGTTCATGATTTTCTCTCCCATGAACAACTCAGAGAGAACTATTCAAATGGATGCGTTTGTCACAACATCTGTAATGGAGTACCAACGCGCTGTGGAGAGCAAGAATGCGCAACAAGTTTCTCAAAGTGTCTCTTCAAAAGTAGCAGTCAAAATAGGAGCATTACATCCACCATCAGATTACTGAAACTGTCTCGGGCAGGAAGTGGACACAACGGACTCTTGAGTGAAAGACCTCTACCAAAAGAATCGGGCGCTTTGTTCCAGTTGTGCCAGACGAGTTTGTTTTCATGCAGAAGTCTTAACTCTTTGTTGCTCGCTCTCTCCTGTTGATCGATCCATACTCATCTTTCTCTTTTCTTTCCTAGTCAGCGCTGCAGACGTGGTAGTTACTCCCGGGAGACGTGCATGAATCCGGAGACGTGAAATCGTCCCACTCCCGGGTGCCCGCCTCTTCAGCATAAACGCGCTGTCAGGTAATTTACCTCTATGCCAGGGGGTAACGTAATCACCAGGGTTTGTCAGTCTGCCAGTCTCTCAACAAGATGACAACGGGCGGATTTTTACGACATTTTTAGTAAGAAGAGTAGGGATTAAGGGCAAGAAAGCAAACATATGGACGTTTAATATATTTCATACCCATACATACACACTCTCACACACGCACAAACACACCATTTATTTCGTTCCCTCGTCAATCATTGCCTCGACCGTCAAGCAGTTGCGCCCTCTAGCGTGGTAATTGATAACAGCAATACAACACAAAAGAATGGTGCGGTTACTTCTGTTCTTTGAGTTGTTCCTTAATCCTTGCCGATGCGGGAGGGTCCAAAAACAGTGGTGATGTTCCAGGACATTCTTCATTCATGTATATATATATTAACGTAAATGGACATTGGTCATCTGCCCCTTATGGACCAATTGCTCTGTGTTTTTCATCATTGCATTTCCTGTTTGATTCTCTGATCTGTGTTGGTGAATTAACAACTCTGTAAAGTCCTTTGAGATTTAGATTCACAAAAAATACATTGAATTGACATGAATAATTGATGCAAAGAGCCTTTTAAGTTTTAATGCTGGGAACATACATTTTAGAGGACAGACATTTGAATTTTCAATGAGCTTATTAATATCACAAGTCAGTTACAGATATTAAGATCAATACTTACATTAAACATCTTATGCTTACTGATAACAACTAACAAGACTTGAGTTTCTCGCTTGACAACATAAAAAATGAATCCACCTCCAAACATTATCTAGTATGAACTACACATTGAATGAAAAGAGATTCTGCACAGACAGTCTAGTTTTGTTGATGGGAAAAGTGTATTTTACAGGTCGCCTATAGTGATAAGGTTATGTCATGGATCAAAGAAACAATAAAACAATTTCTACAGCAAGCAATAGTCATAATCATTTGAGTTTAACATTTAGATAATGATTTGTTTAATACGTTGACCAGTTTTACCCCACCCTCAACATTTGATTACTAGTCTTTCCTTTATTAAGCACAAGGACATACAACAAATTACGATAACGTTCAATCAGATGTCTGATATTTAAAGGAACAGTAAGTAGCTTTGACTACAGGTTTTCTAAAGTCACAACGATAACAATCTAAATCTTTGTTGTCATGTAGAGCACACATGTGCTTCTCTATCTGAAAAATCTCTGCAGAAGCTGGGCTTTAGGTAGTGACCAAACCAGCCGGAGAAAGAAACTGGTAACCCAAATGAGAGACTAATTCTGCACATTTGGCTTCAGGACTAACATATAAAATGTTCACACAAATCCTTGTTATTGTTATCATGTTAATAATAAATCATAATTAAAAAAAATCAGATATGATTATAAGATAATAAACCTACAATATTATGCCAACACAATGTGAAACTTACGTACAGTTCCTTTAAATAGAAAGTAAAACAACAACAACACTACACAAAAACAGTTTCACCATACAATAGGCCTGCTTTTCCATCACAGAGCTTATGTTTCATCAATTTTATGAGCTTCAACAATGGCTCTTGACTCCAATCTGGATCTAGTAGATAAGCGCACAGACCGGGCAGGCTCACCCTCTTCCTGGCTGCCCGAGGGAGAATCGTGAGTCTCAGCACCGGTGTTGAGGAGCGTTTTGTACTGGTTCCAAAAACTTGCAGAACTCCGAGTGGCAGGAACATTCAAGGAGCTCCCTGGAGTTTTGACTTGATCAGAGCTTGAGCGGCTGCTGCGTGCTGATGGGCGGGTCTTTGAATACACTCCATGATGTTTCATGTGACCCTTGAAAATAAATAAATGACGGTTATGAATAGATTAGTCTTTCACATAATACAAGATTTTAAAAATGTATTTACCTTCAGGCCACTGCGGCTGGCATATTCCTTCCCACATTCGGCACAGCAGTACATCTTCTTCTCTGGACGAGACATAGGTGATGGGAGTGTTGGAGTTAGGCTTATGGGCACAGATGTATTCCCTGCTTCATTAAAGTCCACTGTTTCTTCTTTTTCATTAGATCCATAATTTAATTGCTTTTGTTTGTCTTTAACAAAAGCAACAGATGGTGAAAGGTTTATGTCATCAATAATTGGATCTTCAGTCTCCATAACTGACGTATTTGAATCTTTATCAGACATCTGATCCTGCTTTGGCATTGCAGATTTAGGGAAACTACTATTCTCAGAATTTGCAGGTTCCAGAGAAGTGGACTCTGACAGAATTTGTGGCATATTTACAAGAGGTATTTCTTGACTTTGAGATTCATCAGGTGTTATACATGCCAAAGTTTCACAGATGTTTTCAAGGGAAGATCCAGAGCATGGGAAGATATCAGACGAAGTAACAGTCTCAGCCTCCTCCAAATCCATTTGTGACTCTGTGGTCTCTACTGTTGCAGATATGGTGCTTTTTGCCCCACAAAGTTCTGATGATGCAACAGAAAGAGAGACTTGACACTCAGTGTTAGTCTGCTCATGATCGTTAACTCCTGTGCCTTGTTCAGTTTGCTGGTGATCTGATGTGAGCGAGCTACTGGTTTGATCCACACTTGTTGGAGGTATGACCTGTGAATTTGGCCCTGAAGGATCTTCAGGGGCTGGAGTGGTAAAATGAGGGATTGCAGATGCAGATTTGCACTCATCTTTTGTTTTTGGGTCATGAGTAACTGACATCAAGTCAGGGGTTGCAGAAGTCTGGGGTTGAACATTTGAAGTTGGGCTCTTTGGCAAGTCTGTCTCAACACAAGGTTCATTTACACCTGGGTCAGCGGACTTACTCTGACTTTGTGGCAATGAATTATTAGGACACTGCTCTGAAGTTTGAGCTATAGGATCATCTGAGCTCCCTGGGGGAAGTTGTCCTCCAAGATGCATGCGTATGTGGTGCTGAAGAACAAGGGCATTGGTAAATTTGCGCTGGCACAATGGGCAGGAGTTCTGAACACGGGCATTGGCTGGTCGAGCATGGTGTGTGGCCAAATGAGATCGGAGACTGCCTTTGGTAGAAAAGGATCGACCACATAACTTACAAGGAAATGGTCGTTCACCAAGATGTGTTGCCTGATGTAAGCGCAATGCACGTGGACAACTCATTACTCTTAGACAAACACCACATTGATTGGCTACTAAATTGCTTGTCACGCCTATCATGTTGTATGCAGAGAGCTGGCCACCTGCTAGATTGCTAGATCCATTTGTACTCAGCTCAAGAGCTGCAACTACATCATGTGCTAAGTTTGAAACCGAAGTATCAATTAGCGTTGAGGATGGGGATGCCATTACATAAGTTGTTGAGGTGCTGGCATTTGTGAAACAGCAGCTGGGTAAACCAGAAGAGGTAACTGTGCTGTTAGCTGGCATACATAAAGATGAGGTTTGATACGACACTTTCTCTAGTTTTTCCACAAGTCTTTGCAGTTTAGATGTTTCAGATGTAGGTATTGAAGTAGACACTGACGAAGACCGAGAGCATTGTACAGAGGTAGGAAGAGAAAAGGGCCTGGCTAGAGATGAAGTAAATGTCATTGGAGAAGGACTAGTAGAGGTGAGGTGGTGCAGGTTTGGATTTGTGGGTAATGGAGAGCGAAGAAAGCCTAGAGCCGGATGACTGAATATGGAGGTGGAAGGTGAAGAGGACACAGTTGGAAAGAGAAGCTTGGATTGCTGGGCTAGTTGGGAGTAAGGGCCAGTAGAAAGTATGGGGACATGGGGTGGAGTATTTTCATCAAAGTTCTGTTGCTTTGAACCCTTCAATACACCTGCAATTGTTGAGGGTGAAACCAATGAGGGGTTGGAGAAGAGGGAGGAAGAAAGTGCAGAGGAGGTCGAAGAGGAAGTGGTTGTAGAGCTAGCAGTTATAGAAGCTACAGCTGCTGCTGCTCTGTTAAGCTGTAACAAAGAGTGTGATAATAAAGCCAGGTCTACAGTTGGAGGGAGAGGTAAAGACGAAGGAGTAGATTTGTCTGTGCCCCCTCCTGATAAAGTAGTACTTGGACCACTGATCTCTGGCCCATCCTCAAATCTAATTTTTCGAATTTTCTGATTGTTTCCACTCGTCAAACTCTGTCCAATATCCAAACTTCCACTACTTCCCAATGCCATGCCAAACAAGGATGGGGGAAGTAATGAAAGTGAAAGTTCTGGGTTTTGTTCTCGATGACGCAGAAAGTGCACCTTAAGGTTTCCTCTTGTAGTGAAGCGACTGAAACAAACCGGACACTGAAAAGGACGTTCACCTGTGTGTGAGCGTAGATGTATCTGCAGGGCTGAGTCGCTGCTGAAAGATTTGCCACAAAAACGACAAACATGGAGAAGACGGCCAGAGGTGGATGCACAGTCTGCCTCAGAGACTAACTGCAAGGTGTGTGGACTATTAGACACTGATGTAGCCATGGAGGTTTGTGAGGATACACCACTGTGGCCACTCAAAGGGTTTGTATTTGAGGACTTCTCGTGAAGATGACGACTGGGTAAAGCTAAGGAGAGGGCCAAAGGAAATGATGAAGCCATGGGAGATGGGGACTGCGAGAATGACTGGGTTGAATGGCTATGCAGTTTTGGAAATGCACTCCCACTAGAGGTTTCTACTATAGGTATGTGAGGCTGTAAGATCTGAGATAAAGAACTACTTTGTTTTGGGGGTTTGTTGGCTGACTGTGTGGGACGAAGGGAGGAGAAGCAAGCCAATAGAGGAGCAACAGATGTGGAAGGTTGAGTTCCGGGTGATGTTTTTGCCGGGCTTGCTGAACGCTTGTCATCTTCCAGACAGAGTTGGGGGAGTGTTGATAATGTATGTTGATTGGGTAAATCTATATTGTAAGACGCACCACCCAATTGGAGCACTTGCCGACATATCTCTTCTGTTATCTGCATCTGATGAATCTGCCTTTGCTGCAGCACTCGCAGTTCCTCCAGGATTAAGGCAATGCTGAGCTGCATTCGGGGTGGTGCCGCAGCTGCAGAAGTCACACCTGGGCTTGGGACAGGAGTAACAGGACTGGGCGGGCCCTCTGGAACTTGGCTTGGACTTCCAGGATGCAATGGAGGACACAAGGAAGCACACGGAGATGATGAAGAGGAGGTTGTGGTGGCCGATAGCCCCAACTTGGGGGAAGCCATTTGTGAATTAAAAAAGATTTCTCTAAGCGAGGAGGGGGAAGGATGAGATAAAGTGGAAGGCTTCAAATTCTCTGGTGGGGAAACAAGTTTTTTGAGCAAGAGACTTTTACAGCAGGTCTTTGTTGTTGTGTCTGTTAAATAAGCACTGCAGAGTCTTTTGTAAGATTGACAAGAATCACGGGAAAGCTGAGGTCTTTGTAGCAAAAAGGATGAGCCCATAGACGAATCTGGGGCAAACAATGAAGAGCGTGACTTCACTTCCAAAGGAGTATCTAAAAAACAAAACAAAAATTATCTTGGTGATTCCCGAAGTTAATCTTCCATAATCTCTGCCTCACCCTTGAACAACATACTGTGTGTATATTCACTGACTTGCACTGAAAAGTACTCTAACTATTGAGTATGCAGTTAAAAGTAATATTGGAACGTATGTTTGAATATCCCTGTCTTCAATGAAGGTAGTCCTGAATCTGACCAGGTCAAGGCATCTGCACATGGGACATATGCAGAGACAGCTTGCCCTAGTGCAGGGGTGACGACTTTTTCAGTCAGAGACCCTCAAAGTATAAGTGAAATCAACTCATACTTTCAACTGAAGAAAAACATTTAAAGCAGTAATAATTTGAAGCATATCCATAACCTTAAAAAAATAAGACAAATATAACAACAAGATAATAAAGTTGGGCTAACGGACTATACTATTCCAAGTAAATTAAGAGTGCAACACGGGACACACACAAACTGCATAACTAATGAACAGAATTAGCATTTTATTATTGTGTCAGTGTTTTAACCAATAGATTTACAACTGCCACAATTAAAAAACACTTAGACTGAACACCCATAATAATGCCATCTTCTGAGTTGCCTAAGAAAATGTTTGTAAAAATGTATCTGAAAACCAATACGTAATTGGCCTTTAGTTAAGCAACTTTCAATAGTCTATTTCTCACCATTGTCAGTTATCCGACTGGCAGCAGAGGGCAGGATCAAAAGCTGCTGGGGTTGTTTCTGTTTCCGACGGGACATGTCTCTGCAGGGCTGGACCCGCAAGGAACTGGCCAGCAAGAAACCCTAATTTTGTCTATCTGCACACCAAAAATAGAAATCTAAATGAATAAAAAATGTTTTCAAAAGCATCGCCATCTATGATCTAGCTTGAGAAATTGTGTCCATATTAGTGGCACAAAAAGGTTTGAGGCCTTGAGTACTGAAGGCGAATGAGCCAGTTGACATGTGTGACAGTCTCTTCTTTCACAAATTTCACCATTGGCTCTCATTCCCTTGCTCTCTTTCATTACACACAGCTCACTTGTTCATCCACTACTTTACATTCAAATGGCGATGCATGCTCTTTCTTTTGAGCCAAGTGTCCCCTGCCTTTTAAACAAGTCTATTGCAATGAACTTCATCACCTAAAAACCCTTCCCTGATTTAACATGACTTACGTAAGTCATTTGTGGATGTGTAGCTTTAGTGGGAGGGTCAGCACAAGTGAACTTTATTGTGATTCAAATTACATAAAATGATAAACAGAGGACTATGGATATGCATATTTCAAGATTTGTGGAGAGCTGTGTGAGCCCATGTAAACAGTGTCTTGAATTTGGTGGAATTTGCAACAATGGTATGGACGCACAACAGCTGAGTGCATCACCCTCTCTGAGCCTCACCAACACATAAGGCTACTGAGAGGACACAATGCCCCCTTTTTACCCACATCTCAGCTTAACATGTGCTGTAAAAGCACATCCAATAGGACGAAGACAGAAATGCAGCCTAAAACCTCTGCAGTAGTGTGCAGTACTATTGATTTGTAAAATCCTAATTCCTATTGTGTGTAAAATATCAAAATCTATATACAATTGAAATTATAATAATAGGACAAAAATATTTTTTACAAGTGTGTTTGACTATTAGTCAATAGGGAAGTATGATTTATCCATAGATTGAAGTTGATAGTCTGCATCGATTTATTCAACGAGAATTATGCTGTTTTAATAGCTTAATCAATCATTTGGACCATGTTAATCAATTACCAGTAATGTAGACCCAATTATAAATTAATATGAGATGAATATGTGCCCAATAGTCAGAGAAAAAAAATGCTATAAAGATGCGTCCACAAAAACAAAATCACGGTTCGTAGATGAATATACCTTTATTTTTAGAGCTAAGTTACCGTATTTTGCTAAGCCATTTTGTCTGTGGTCTTCTTCATATGACTTCGACGCCTAACCTTACTGTATCCACTGTGCGCGCTCCAACAGGACACTGTACTGCGACCTGTTGCGCGCAAGGCGCGCTCCCATATCATAACAAGTTATGATTCATAAAATTATGATTTCTTACAAATGCAATGTCGGATGTGCATTTCCTCACTCTACCACCATCGTCAATGTGACCATCTTAAACACATCATGACACTTACCATGTCGGAAACGATGATCATGAGTTTAAACAAAAAAAATCGAGGCAAACGATGAAAAGCAAAAGAGGTGGAGTGATCCGTCTCAGCCGGGACACTAGAGCTGCATTTCCCTGTTCACTCCCTGGGATGCGCAGTCAGACAACCGCATTTTCTGGTTCAATTATTTATCTCCGTCTCCAATAACTGTTGTAAAACACTCTGGGATAAAGGGTTTTATGTCTTGTTGGTTTACCTTGTACGTACGTATGAAAAAGCGAGACAGTGCATGAGGCTAAAAGCTAACCATCAGCAGCTAATCCTTGGGGAGGCGGTGGCGGGAGGGGGTTTCACCACTCCCCGTTTTTGTGTTTGAGAGGGCAAAGCTGTTTGCTCTGCGGTACCGTCTGTCTGTCTGTGTGTCTGTCTGTATGCCTGTCTGTAATCCTGTCTGTGAGGATGTCTGTGTGTCTGACGGTCATGCTCCTTCAGGAGACGTTCCTTCTGTTCCATAGACTGTATTCTGAACCACTGTGATGTCTAGCTGAGGTTGAAACATCACTGTTGATTTAATATATTTTTAATGACATTAAATCCATAATTGAAGCAATTAACGCTATGGTACAAATGTTCATTTAAACATAGGAAGTATAACAATGAATACACATCATATTATATATTTCAACCATTGGAAGTATTACATTGAATAGACATCATATTACAGAATATAATTCTTGAATATAATTGTAAATTTAAATTTAAAATAATAGTGGTAGGAACTTTTTCGTGTTTTTGTGTAAAGAGTGCCCGGCATCCTCCTCACATTTTGATTTCAGATATAAAGCTTAACCCATTTAAAACACAGTCAAAAACAAATTCCGTATGTCGGGTTGTAGTACCGAGCCTGACTTATTGTGGAGTCTGAATCTGAGTTAGGGACAGGGGAGTTGTATGTCTGAAAGCCAAAGGTTTTCTGGGGTTTAATCTTATGTCAGAGCCTTTTGGCGTATCATTTGTATTATTATTGCTATTATCACTCAGATTTTATCACAGTGTGCAACTAAAACACACTACTGCACCAGACAAGCAGGTGCCTTTAGGAGTAGTATGAATTAACTACAACAGACAGTATAACCTAACGCACCAGAGTAGCTCAGAAGTCCTCCCCCATTCTATACTGGATACTGGTAACCCACCCAGAAAGAATCTCACGATCAGAAGTTATGTCAGATTGTTTTAGCAATCATTCCATTGTGTGTGGACAATCCCAATGCCAAAAAATCCTCCTAATTATGTTACAATTAGACAAATGTAGAAAATAAACAATGATTCCTTCATGGATGATTTGATAAATATTAACTGGGACAGCTAGGTTTCAGATTATTGTAAACGCAGAGGATGCATGGAACATACTTTCATTTTGAGGTATCCAGAGCGTAATGTTTTTTCACATAAAGGTTTTTGGTACAGACACCGCAAACTTCTAAATTACACAAATACCTTTAATCAAACTAGTTCTACCCACCATTTTGATGATTCCATCTACCAAAATACATATGACTCATACGTTTAATCACTCTTTTTATCTGTCTCTGCAAATTCATCCTTAAATCTTGCAATCTCCAGTGAGCTACTCAATAATGTATTATCTGTATGTTCTTTTTAAGTTGTAGTATACTACTTGCTGCTGTTTGTATGGGCTGTATCAAATTTTGTATATAGAAATTATGAAATATGTTTTCTTAATGTAGTATTATTGTAGGGCTGTGGAGTGTTGAGCCAAAAATATTTCGTCAGTGGTTTATAACTTTTATTAATAACATAATATAATGTATTATAATGATGTTTCATGCCTATAAAGGCAAAACGTTAGACAATTACTTACCATTTTTTAATACCAAAAGAAGAAGGTTTGATATTGAGCTTGCAAGGGAACATGAAATATTTGTATATTTTTTTATTGTGGAGGTACTAAAGGCATGAGTGGGCGGATGGTGAGAAAGCTGCAAACAAGAGATGCTGCTGAGGGATGAAGACACACTCGAGCGGTTGGTGAGGCAGGTCCATCTCGTCTTTTGTTACTACCGCTAAGGACGTCTGACTTTAATATATTCATTTCAACAAACAAGGTAATAATTTACACTACATATTACTAAAGTAATTTCTAGGACTGCAGAAAATGTTACTTCAAATGTAAAACCTGCTTAGTATGTGACACATTATTGTTGTATTAGTTCTGCTGTTTATACAACCATTTACTCAACCGTGAATACTTCTGGTTGCAATTAAAAATGAATGGTGAATATTATGTCTGTGAAAACAAGCATCAATTCAAGACATAGATTTCTTTTTTTCTTCAGAACACTGTTGTACATTGCCTTAATGATGATATATACGTAAGGCTGGCGGATTTAAAGTGTTTGTAGAACTGATTTTGTTAATAGTTTGGCAAAAAATATGTTTAACTTCAGACTAAAGTATTGCTTTCAGTCTTTAAGAATCATCAATCTTTGTATGTGCTTGGTGTTTTTGTTGATGACAAAATGACCAAAGAAAAAATACATAAACAAAGCTAAGAAATTATGAAGTGAAAAAATGAATGAACTTTATATTTTTAAAAAAATACTTTATTGTGTCTTCATTTCGCACCGTGAATGTACAGACTTTGTAAGCAAAGAACAATATATTTTTGTTAAATAATAATAATTAATAATAATAATATTTACGGCTTCTTTTCATTAGACAAAAGTGTAAAGAAGCTAGTACTCCTTCTGCTGTCGAAACATCAAGTAATTAATCAGAACAAGTTTCTTTACACTTTTGTCTCATTAAAAGAACCTTCTATACGCTTTAAAAATGATTAATCGTGCATTTGTTTTGCATGGTATTGGAAGGGATGAGGGCGATGCTGTATGTGCATAAAAAGCAGATGGTCACTCAGTGGAGTTGTCCTTAAATCTCATCTCCCTCTGGCTCCCTCCTGAGTCCTGCATTCTTCCCTTGACACTCATCCAGATCCTTACCTCATCTATTTTCTCCACTTTCTCACCCAACTGGTTGCACTGCAGGCTGATCCTTCTTGTGTTCTTGTGTTCTTGTGTCTTCTGTTTGTCCCCAGCTACTTCGCTTCAGCCTGGTTGTCAGCCTGTCCCTTATTTTTTGCCGAATAAGATTATTTTGGGGGCTGACCCGTTGGAGACAGCAGCAACATAGCAATTAGTTAGGTGCAGGTTTAGTGGGCAAGCGAATAGACAGATTGTAAAAGCAGTTGTTTAAATTTAATAATAATCGGCAAGTCTAAATATATATAATTCCACCCATCAATTCTCAATACCAGGCTCACATTGTAGAACATTTCAAATCAGAGCATGTTTGTTTTTACATTCCATAATCCGTACTATAGTTGTTGAACCATGCATCCAGTTCCCTTTCACTTGTCCATACCGCTGCTGCTTCTGCTTCTGCTTTGGGGAGCCAGGAGTCAGAATGACACTGAGCCCATCATACTAGAAGGAAAGTGTTTAGTAATTTGCGATTCCACTCCTTCGTCCGAGCCAGCTGGTAGTGCCCTGGGTATGTCCGTGCGCTCCGGGTCAGGACGGGTGGCCTTCTCTGCCAGTCGACAAACCAACCACGAGCCTACAGACATGAGCAACCGCACCATGATCATCTACTTTGACAATGTGAGTCACCCTTCAACACTATGGATATGATATAATTTAAAAAGAGCATGGGTAAATATGCGTATGTACAGTAAATGCTGTAGCCATGTTTTATTGCCTGATTTAAATGCTCCTATAGTTGGAATAGTTTTCAATTGATGTGGAAAAGTATTTCACAGACAAGGAGCATAAAACCAAAGCTGCAATTTTTATTATCTCTTTATTCATCATTATTATCTCTAATTATTTCATGTATTTAAAGAAGACTATGCTGTTAAGGATTCTATTGTGTCAAACCAGTAGCTATTGGTTTTATTGTTAAAGCTGGAGTGCTATAACCTTTATGTTTGTTTAATTAATACATGTTGTTTTCCTCGTCAATGGACTTGGAACATGGATTAAAGTATGGTATTGTTTATGATTTCAAAGTTAGTTGTTCCAGATTAAAGTTCTATTCATGATACATTTAATCACAAGAACCCTTTAGTGGTTTCTTCAACCATTTGGCAGACCACTTTTTGAGTCACTAACTACATTAAGCATGCTTCAACTGAATATACCTCTTTGGGGCATCTCACATGGTATTAGTTCACTTTTACCATAAACTGCATCTCAACCATTTGATAGAAGTCTATAATTTAAAATAGTAATAATTGAACTGAATTGAATTATTTATTTCAAAATCTGCAAAGGAAACACATTTTACAAATGTTCAGACACATATGTTGAAATTAGCCCAACCCTCACCCCCACACAACACAAGACAAAACAATAGAATTTAGAAAATCACATTACAAAATACTACTGTACATTTGACTACAATTTCAATACAAACTACCCCCAATAGTATACACAAAAAACAACAACAAAATGCATACATACACACACACACACACACACACACACACACAGAGGCCCAAACACTCTCTGACCCCACCCCTCTCTCCCATCACACGCTCCGTGCTGAGGGCATCACTCTCTTTCCTCCTTGTTTTTCTTTAGCGCATCTCTTTTAAACAGAGCTTTAAATTGAATCAGATACTCTTCAACCCAGTAATTTAAATATAAATAGTAATAATAATAATAATAATAATAATAATAAAACATTAAAATAAAGAATGATAAAAACAGGGGTTAAAAATTGGGTTATTAGTGCTCTTTCTTCAAGGCGTGAACATTAAGGTTCAAATTAAAATGCAATCAAGGAAATAGCAGTGGGCAAAGACACTGAAATTGAAACCATCCATTGCATTACAACTCTTGAGTGCTTTAAAGCTCTTACATAATATGTATAAATCATAATACATAACAATAAGATGTGATCTGCAACAATTGAAACCCATAAAAAGTATTATTTATATATTCATAATTATTTTGATGTCTCTTTGATTGATGAAAAAGATTTTGGTGAATGTCGGGAATCACTTTGAACAAGAGAGCAGCATCTTCCTGGCGCCAAGAAGAGGTGTCTACAGCTTCAGTTTCCATGTTGTGAAGGCTTATAATAGACAAACTATACAGGTGACCTGAAATATAGAGCTCAATAGATACACTTGATATTCTTTACTAAAATAAATACATTGTATCATTTTAGGTGAGTTTGATGCTGAATGGTTGGGCCATGATTTCCGCTTTCGCCGGCGATCAGGATGTCATCAGAGAAGCTGCAACAAATGCTGGCCTCGTCATCATGGAGAAGGGGGATAAGGCCTACCTCAGACTGGAGCAAGGCAACCTGATGGGCGGATGGAAATACTCTACTTTCTCTGGCTTCTTGGTGTTTCCATTGTGAGAAAGATGTTTCCATTGTGAGAAGGATCGACCGGAAAGTAAAAGACCCGAAAGTCTCTATGGTGCATGAACACGTTTATTTTGTGAAAGAAGACATAATATAATGGTTTGTGCAACTCAATATACATCAAAATGCTGCAGAATGTTGGCCAGCAGGAAATTGTATATTATTTCTGTAGCTTTGGGGGTTCAGTTAAGTTTTGATGGATATGTTTGAGGATTGAGTAGGGATATTGAAAGCTACGGGTAAACGGGTAAAAGTTCTCTATTCCCACTTATTCAATGTTACTCCTCCTGAAGTATTTCTATTTTTATTGAATTTGATTATTATAAAAAAATATATATATTGTAATTATGTGACATGTTAGTTTCTGTTACAACTCTTGAAATAAAATGTTGATCTTCCCACTTTGAAACACTGCTGTCCATCACTTGGCCTCCTGTGGTTGTATCAATCTTTATCAGAATCAGAATCAGAATATTTTTTATTGCCACGTAAGTAACAGGAGGTCACAGACTTGGAAATTGCTTTGGCTCAGTGCAATAGTCAGAAAGAGATAATAAAAATAAGAATAAAAAACACTTCTAAAGAATAAATTTAAATTTAAAATAGAGTTACAGTTACTATTTACAATATACAAGTGCACATGGTGCACTCAATGTAAGGTGACAGCAGTACAGTGAAGTAAAGTGACGTATGATGGGCAGTAAAGTGACTTTATAAAGGGCGGGGGGACAGGTTAAGAAGTGTTCAAGAGTCCAACAGCAGAGGGGAAGAAACTGTTCTTGTGGCGGGAGGTTCTAGTCCTGATGGACCGCAGTCTCCTGCCTGAGGGGAGTGGTTGGAATAGTCCATGTGCAGGGTGAGAGGGGTCGGCTGTGATACGACCAGCCCGGCCTCGAGCTCGGGCGACGTACAGGTCCTGCAGCGATGGAAGGCTGCGGCCGATCACTTCCTCTGCAGAGCGCACAATGCGCTGTAGTCTCTGTTTGCCAGAATGGTCATTAATAGACATATTTCTTAGATTAAATTTATACATTGAAGCAAATATTTGTGTTCAATAAAATCAATGTGTGTAGCCTTGATCATATTTCCTTATATTATTTGATGGCTACTTAAGGTTTTTGGAGTTATATCTTAAATGCCACCCCCCACCTCTGGCCTATATATTCTAGCACTATAGATGACAAAATCTGTTTGTATGTCTGTTTCTTATTGGGAGATGTGTGAAAATATTTTTTTTATAGCAGCCTTTTGACTATTTATCTTGGTCTATTATTTGATAATATAAGCATAACCTTCTAATTAAACCAAAAGTTTAATTTCCAATACAGGACATGCAATGCTTGGTAAATGTCACTTTCACATATCCCCGCCTATTTTCCCGGGTTGACCCAAAGACATACAATATTGGACTTAAAACGTTTTTTTTCTTCTAAAAAGCAAAGTTTGTTCATCTAAAAAAAAATAACTCAAGATCTTTTAATAGTCATGAAAGATTTTCTCGCCCTCTCTCAATCAGTGCCGTGGCAGATGTTTGTAAATATAGCTCACACCAACAGAGTTGGCGTTGGTGTTTACAGGCAAACTAGTGTGAGGCAGCTGAGGAGCGGATACTACACGCTGGGCTACGGACAGATGGAGCTGCAGGACTGCCGCCGCGACCAAAGTGTGTGTGCTACAGTCACATAAAGTCACTTCCCTGGATTATTATGGGCACAGTTCAATATTCTTTCTGCCATGAATGCAGCACAGTATATATGTGTGTATATGTATAGATTTCACTGTTCAATTAGAATTGGTATTTGAACAGTCCTCCCCATCATGCTGTGTAGATTTTGACATCATCATTTCAATTGATCATAAGCACCCTGCCATAGTGTGACAAACAAAAGTTCTCGAGCTGAAGTGTGCCCTAAACTGAGGGTCAGTGAGGGGCACTGAGAGCCAACCGCAGGTTCAGATGGTTCAGACAGACTGATTCAAATACAGACTGAAAGAGTTACAGGAAGACCTGTAGACATCTTTGTCTGATGACTGCTACGTTGTAAACAATGACCCGCATCACTGGATGATCAATGCTATTCAACTCCAGGTATGGAGTGTGAGGGAGGTGTGATAAGTGTCACATCACACCATTGAATCAGTGTGCTCTGTGCACTATGACCTGCTAGGGTACCTGACCACACCAACAGACACAGAATCATAATTGTATAATGGGCGAGGGAGAATTTATGCTGGAGGGACCAGGGGGCTTCAGTGTTTACAATGAATGACTTACATTTAAATGAATAAATACTACATACTGTTTTTATGTAGATCATGACAATCAATGTTATATGTTTAGTGTATTTCCTCAGAAAGATCTAGGTAACAGCAACATTCTGTAAACTAATCAAACCTTAATGTGCTGTGTTAATCTTGTATGAAAAACATATGTGTGTGAAAACTATCTACCAAACTTTTAGAGCTCAGAACTTGTTAAATGGGTTAAACGCCAACGTTTACCCCTGCATTATTAAAACAAAGGCATTCCAACACTTAATTAATTGCACAAATATACTTTTACAGGATAATGTTCTTTAGTATGATGTATCCTAACATATGAGGATGATTCTTAAATAGAATAATAGGGTGTGTGTGTGTGTGTGTGTTAATCCTTCAAACATGGAAAAAGGTCTAAGCATACTGTAGAATGAGTTGTTTCCATGTTTCCCTCCACTAAAGATAGTTTGATACAGAGTTCGTCACTAGGTGGCACTATAAACATCGCTGCTACTAGCATCAACCCTAAACGGCCTGTGTTGACATTTATAATTGTGTACGCCTCTAATTGGAGGAGATACGAGTCTGTTTAATTTTTTTACAAGATCAAGTAATCGATCCCAGTTTTAACTAAAATACACGTATTGATCACAAATTATTGTATGGGAATTGATTCTTGAGTTAAAGCCTGTATAATGATGAATGAACAACAGTGTCCTAATAAGACAAGAAGGATGGCCTTCACGGCGTTTATCTAACATTTAAATTGGTAAATATGTGCAGCCAACCTTGTAAACATCGCTATTTGATTAAATTGGTATCTTCGTGCCTTAACGAGGTAGGCAGAAGACCATTCAGTCATATGGTTCAAGCTAGGCCGCATTTATTGCTTCTTCAACCAAACTATGTATTTGTCCCACCTTAAAGATGTCGTACATTTGATTGTCAGTCATATTAGCCAATAGAACAGTAGTGTGTTGCCGGCTTGGACCAAAGCCCACCAATCACTCATCGAGACGCTCGAGTGACACGCCCCCTTCGCTTCTCTGGCAAGAAGGTTAGTTCCTGCTCTCCTCTGTCCGTTTCCTGTAATCGTACAGTGTTGTGAGACGGAGAAAGCCATGTGTGTCGATGCAAAGGTAAATTTAGCACCCCAAATATCACTGAGTGTGTTAGGGCAGTTCATATGATGCTAATTTTCATCTATTTTTACCGAACAACTGGCGTAGGTCAACTGAAAGACTATTGCGGCCTAACCCGAGTCTGAACGTAGACCGTAGTGGTTATTGTGGCACGCTGCTTTGGTTTGGTCCGGTTTGTTGATGAGGTAGAAGCAGTCCCATAGACTTGGTGGTCGATTGTAAATGACAGTGAGACAAACAAATAACTTCTTTGATATAAAATATGTTATTTATAGTTATCAATACGAGCCGTTTGTACACGGACTTGTGTAACACAGGCACATTGGTGGCGACATGAGCTAATGCTAACCCATGGGTTTGGGATAAAGACTGCAACGCGAACAGAGGAAAGCATCTCGGCTCACAGCATCAGTACCCTCCTCTCTGACCTCAAAGCCATCCTTTTAATTCGTGGTTTTACAGTGGGTCATCCTTCTGTATGCAGGTTCTGTGACCAATTTGAGCTTTACTTATTTCTATCAACATTAGCGTATTCTGTATGACAATAATGGAGAGGCGTAAACACGACTTCTCTAGGATTTTGCTGGAAGAAAGTTGTAGGTCTACAACACTATTGACAGATATCTAGACAAAACAAATACTGTTTGAACTGACAAATTCACCAACTTATTTATTTAGTTAGATCTAGAAATATCGTGTCCAAATCTATACACAACTAGCGGTTAATGTTAGTCGTCAGTGCTGTTTGAACAATGTTTATCATTTCGTAATTATTTATTGGCGTGCTTTTATTTTTTTTCTTAATAAAAGTAACCCCTTCCACTGTCTTTTGCAGATTCTTTAATCAAGACTACGAACTGGACCGAACTTGTAGCCTTCATTACAGCGTCTTTGTAATTTTGTGCCCATCTCCCATTGTGGAGGGGCAAGATGGCCGATCCTATCATGGACCTCTTTGAGGACACACCTCTGTTCAACCTGGACGCCTTACCAGATGACTCCTTCACTCAAGGTTCCACAGACCCTGTGGAGGAGGCCCTGAAGCTTGCGCTAGGCCAAGTTGACCCATCCACAGAGTCAGAACCGACTCCAGAACTCACAGTCAACACTGGTCTGAGTTTACCTGCAGCCGCTCCTGTCATCCCAGACCCTGTTGCTATCCAAATCCCTGCTTCTCAAACTGTCTCAATAGCGCCTGCTCAGACTATCTCTATAGCACCAGCTCATACTGTTGCGCAATCTGCAGTGGAAACAGTTCAGCAGATTCAGACTTCTATTGCAAACAGTATGCTGTTGAGTTCTCCTCTGACTGTTTCTACTGCTCAAACTGCTACCACTGCCACATCCCAGCAGCTAACTCAGATCACGCACCAGCTCACACCGCAGCAGCTCGCTGCCATCACACAACAGGCTGGTGGGAAAATAGTGATCCTCAAAGGGCCCCAGGGTCAAGCTCAGGTGCTGCAGACTGTCTCTGGAGCTGCAGGGCAAGCTGGTGGAAAGGTCATTCGACTGTTGTCTGGGACACAACTTAAACAGGGCATGTCCATCTTACAAAGTGGAGCAGTCTTGAATCAGGCAAATCCAGGACAGGCTCAAGTTAAAGTGGGTACTACAGGAGTTCAGAGGGTGCTCCACTCTCCCAATGGACCAGTCAAACAAGTGCTACTCACCTCTGTGCCCCAGCAGGTGCAGCAGACACAGGGGCAGTCTGTTCAGGTCTCACAGGTGCAGACGCTCCAGGTGCAGCCACAGGTTCAGACTCAAGTCCAGACTACTCAAATCCAAGTCCAGCCTCAGGTTCAGACCCAAGTGCAGCTCCAGCCCGCAATGCAGCCCCAAACCCCGGTATGTCAATCACACAACTTTCCTGCACACATGTTTGATTTCGCTCACAGAGTTCATGTTTTTTTTAGGGAAGTGAAGCAAAGCGCATCACACTTGTCCTCCAGCAGCCTTCCCAGACGACCACATCTGCCACAGCAGGGCAGCAGGCCGTGACCCAGGTACAAGTGGCTCAACAAGGGCAGCAGCCCCAGACTCCCACAAGACTGGTGTTGGGGCAGCTCCCTGGAGGAAAACTGGTGCTGCAAGGCAGCCAGCTCGCGGCACTTACCCAGGCACGGGCAGCCGGGCAGACTGGAGGACAACAACCAAAAGTCCTCACCATTCAGCTACAAGTGCAGCAGCAGCCTAACCAACAGGGGGGGGTTAAGGTAATCACATTCTTTTTGGCACAAATTTGCTTGATGAAATCAAGCGTATTATTTCTTTTTAAAAACTTGTTTTTTTTTTTACAGTATCAGCTGGTTACTGGAACTGGTAATACTGGCAGTCCTCAAGTGTTGCAGATTTCACAGGGCCAGGGGGGGCAGAGGGTTGCACTGCCTCTCAAAATGCTTCTGCAGCCTCAGGTATTACTTGTGAATATATATTTCACCATCCATAACAATGATGAAATGAGATTAACGTTTGCATTGCAAAATCCTCCAGGTGAGCTCTGCATCGTCTGCAGGCGGCACTGTTTCTGTTGTGAAGGTAATCAACACCTCTGCTGCTGGGACCTCCACCACAACCACGTCTCCATCACAGGCCATTCGCATCACGAAGGCAGGTGGTGAGACTGCCTCTGTGCGGCGGGTGGAAATCTTGTGCAAGCAAGAAAAGGCTAATCGAATCGTAGCTGAAGCTATCGCTCGGGCCAAAGCACGTGGTGAGAAGAATCTCCCCAGAGTTCTCAACCAGGATGAACTTCCAACCTCACATATGTCTCCAGAAATAGGCGGCACTGTGACCGTTGTCACTACTCCAAAGAAAAAGAGCAGTGGAGGAGGCAGCAAGAAGAAAACTCCTCTAGGTTCTACGCCCAAAATGGGAGGTGTTTGTGATAAAAAAGGAAAAGTGAAAACACCTGGAGGAACCATCACAGTAGTTGGGGGCACAGTAATGACAGCATCTGGAAACAAGAGCAAGAGCAAGACTAAACCAAAGTTAGTTGAATATCATTGTGCTAGAGAGAACTGAATGATGTTTGAGAAATAACCGTTGTTTCTGTTTCAGCACAATTACACTTGTAGGTGCAAAGAAAAGAAAACGAAATGCATCTTCTGACCACTCTGATGGAGAGCTCAGCCCACCCTCACCGGCTATGCTTGAGGACGACTTGATTATGGTGCATATCGGACAAACTTAAAATCATCACTTCATACACAAACCTAGAATGCCATAACTAATGATAATTGATTCCATCCTGATTGATTGCATTCGACGTGTTGTCCCAGATAAGGCTGACTTTCTTCCTTTATTTTCCAGATTTATTTATTTTATCAAGAATTTGAGTTAATTTATTACTAGAATTTAGTAGTTACTGCTCTAAGGCGTAAAACTCACTTTCAAGGTTCATTCATGTTTTTTGTATAGAGCAGGTAACAATTAACCAAATTAAATGGTTGTCAATTATTGAAAATTATAACATGACACACAAGAATGCATTGAGTACCGGATTATGAAAAGTGGGTCCTACATTATGAATCCACCAAATCACATTTTTCAATTGTTACACCCCTAGTTACAGCTCCTCATCATTCTCTCATCATTCATAGAAACACGTTGGCCTTTTTTCACTCATTTTGTTTAATTTTGCCTAGAAGAGACGATCTAATAGAGTAGTAAAAAGAAAGAAATACACAGAAGACCTGGACATTAAGATCACCGATGATGAGGATGAGCAGGAGGACGTTGACGTGACGACGACTGCTGCAGCCGTGGCCTCCATCAGCGGAGCGCCTCCTGTTCACATCCCTCAAGAGGTGGAGCTGGATGGTGATGGGTTACCCAGCATGCAGTTCTTTGTGGTAAGATCGGTTCTTATTCAAATGTGTCCGCTTCTTTGCCAATTTGAATGCTTATTTGACAAAACTTTATCAGGAAAATCCTAGTGAGGAAGATGCTGCTATTATTGACAAAATATTGTCTGTGAGGTCAACTAAAAAGGAGGTATGTTTTTTTCATGAATTATCACTTCATATGAATGTTTCATAACATTTTTAAGAACAAATATTAACTCATTGCATGCATGTTCCCTTCTATACAGATTTGCCCTGGCCAGTACACCAATGTAGAAGAATTCTTTGTAAAATATAAAAATTAGTAAGTCACCTTTTATTATTGTTGTCATAGCTTTAAGATACACATAATCAATCCATTTGTTTTACAGTTCATATCTACATTGTGAGTGGGCCTCTATGGAGCAGTTGGAAAAAGATAAAAGAATAACACAGAAGATAAAAAGGTTTAGGGCAAAACAAGCACAAATGAGGCACATTTTCCAGGAGGTATGCCCCCCGCCTGCATTCAAATGTGCATGGCATTTTTTGTATTTGCATTTATTTAAAAACTATTTACATTGTCTCTTAGGAGGAGGAAGCTTTTAATCCTGACTATGTGGAGGTGGACCGCATACTGGATGTATCCCATAGTGTGGACAAAGACAATGGCGAGGTAAAGAATTCAGACAAATGTTGTATTGCATGTTTCTACTGCTGTCTCTAATGGGCGACTCTGTTACTCCCACCAGCCTGTTATTTATTATTTAGTGAAGTGGTGCTCCCTCCCTTATGAAGATGCCACCTGGGAGCTTAAAGAAGATGTGGATGAGGGAAAAGTTGAGGAATTCAAAAAGATTAAAAGCAGACAGCCTCGTCTGAAAAGAATGGTTGGTTTCTTGGCAAAAATGCTTTTTGTTATTTGCTTCAGCCAGAAAAAACATTTTTAAGATTCTCTAAAATGTTCTTTAGGCCAGACCACCTGCTGCTTCGTGGAAGAAATTGGAAGATACTAGAGAATATAAAAATGGCAATATTCTCAGAGAGTATCAGCTAGAAGGAGTTAACTGGTTGCTCTTCAATTGGTACAACAGGTAATCTTGTCCTGTAATATTTTTATTTTTTTATTTGTGTACAAAATAAACCTGATTCTAATGATGGATTCTAATCATAACATAAAGACTTCTTATAGTCTTTAAATGTTGTTCTTGTACATGGTGTTAGATGGAATGATAAGACAATGTCTTTTAGCTGCATTAATATAAAAGACGGACTCCCCATGTTTAGTTCTGATGAGACTCACAATATCCATGTACAACTATTTCTTTCATAGACAAAACTGCATTTTGGCGGATGAGATGGGTCTCGGGAAGACCATTCAGTCCATTGCACTACTGTCTGAGATATACAATGCTGGAATCCAAAGCCCCTTTCTCGTCATTGCTCCACTTTCAACCATCACCAACTGGGAAAGGGAGTTCTCCACATGGACCGACATGAACGCTATCGTCTACCATGGGAGTTTGGCCAGCAGGCAGATGATCCAGCAGTATGAGATGTACTGCAAGGACGATAAGGTGGAGTTGATGCTCAAACTGGTTAAGTTAGGTTGGTCAGGACTAATCAACTAACGAGGCCCATGTTGACTGCTTTAATGGTGTTTGTGTGCATTAGATTTAGAGAACAAATTTACATCCATTCTGTTTGTTGTTCAGACACACGCGCACGGAGGTCAGTGATTAGTGAGAGTCGGTGTCTATAGTCAAATGCACTAATAGCTATAGCAGTGGAAAGAATTTCTCAATGGCACACAAACGTGAACTAGACAGACTAACTTAGCTTAGATGATCATGATCATTCATCAATGTGAATGCATTCACCTATTGAGTGCCTGCTGCTGTTTCTGTGATCATAAGCACTGGCTCCCATCTGTGTTATCCTTCTTTGACTCTGACCAAACCTGGAGCTATCAATTTGAAAGGACAGACATCCGCCACATGTACACCACACAAGACCCTCTTTCAGCTGCTCTCAGAGCATCCGTTTAATGTCCCAAAATGAGGCTGTGGTGTTTTTGTGGTCACTAGCCTCAACTAGTAGAACTTTGCCTCTCCTAATGCTGAAGCTCTGGAGAGGCAAAGGACTCGTTCTGATTAAAGAAAAGGCAAATTTCTCTCCAATGTGGTTCTTGGTTTACTTGAATTCATAATTATGTTTGTTATGAATATTTAGTAATATGGTTAGGTTGTTAAGAATGATTATTTTGTGTCTGCAGGAGCATTTGATTCCTGGTGCCTACAAGTTTGATGCTCTCATCACCACCTTTGAAATGGTGTTGTCCGACTGTCCTGAGCTGAGGGAGATCTCCTGGCGGTGTGTCATTATTGATGAAGCCCATCGTCTGAAGAATCGCAACTGCAAACTACTTGACAGTTTGAAAATGCTTGACTTGGTAATCGTAACATATACAAAAAAAATACAAAATCAATCTTGAAAGTTGTTAACCATTTTGTCATTGCTCTTTCAGGAGCACAAGGTTTTATTGACCGGCACCCCTCTTCAGAACACGGTTGAAGAACTGTTCAGTCTCCTGCACTTCCTTGAACCGGCTCAGTTCCCATCAGAGTTCGAGTTCCTTCGAGAATTTGGGGATCTCAAAACAGAGGAGCAGGTATTTCTACTTTTGCTTACTTGTATTTCAAAGGATCAGTTGTTTGTATGCCTTCCATGCTAACCAAATAAATGCTGTTGCAGGTTCAGAAACTACAAGCCATTCTCAAACCAATGATGTTGCGAAGGCTTAAGGAGGATGTCGAAAAGAATTTGGCTCCAAAACAGGAGACAATAATTGAGGTTTCTAGTTTTATTACATAGTACATTTACATTTATACTATTGTAAACTATAAACATAACTGTTTGTCTCTGACCAGGTTGAGTTGACAGATGTTCAGAAAAAATACTATCGGGCAATCCTCGAGAGAAACTTCAGTTTTCTCAGTTTAGGAGCGAGTAGTAACAGCAACGTCCCCAATCTGCTCAACACAATGATGGAGCTGCGGAAGTGCTGCAACCACCCCTACCTCATCACTGGTGGGCTTCAGTTTTGATAATGGAAATGACATGCCACGCAATTGAATACGTAAATAAGTTAAATGAGTCTTCTCTCCCTCACTCAGGCGCAGAAGAAAAGATCATAGCAGAGTTACGAGAGGTGTATGATCCCAGTACCCCTGACTTCCATTTGCAAGCCTTGATTCGTTCGGCAGGAAAGCTGGTGCTACTTGACAAACTGCTGCCACGTCTTAAAGCTGGGGGCCACAAAGTTCTCATCTTTTCTCAGATGGTGCGCTGCCTTGACATTTTGGAGGACTACCTCATCAACAAAAGGTAACTTTATTTAGTGTGTTTATTTCTTGGCGGGATTACTTTCTTCTCTTGTTTTTTAAAGGTATCTTTATGAACGCATCGATGGTAGAGTACGTGGGAACTTGCGCCAGGCTGCTATTGACCGCTTCAGTAAACCCGACTCAGATCGCTTTGTCTTCCTGCTGTGTACCCGTGCTGGAGGCCTGGGTATTAACCTCACTGCTGCTGACACTTGTGTCATCTTTGACTCTGACTGGAACCCTCAGAATGACCTGCAGGTATCAATTTATTTCTCTAAACTTTCATCGTTCTATCATGATGGATGGATGTATGTAAATATGTTTTCTTAAGGCACAAGCCAGATGTCATCGTATTGGCCAGTCCAAGGCAGTCAAAGTGTATCGCCTTATCACCAGAAACTCTTATGAAAGGGAAATGTTGGATAAAGCCAGTCTGAAACTCGGCCTTGATCGCGCTGTTCTGCAAAGCATGAGTGGGAACAAAGACACAAGTGTTAATGGGGTAGGAATTTCTACTTTTTCCAATCTTTGGATCACTCTCTGAAATCAAAACTGGACATATGTGTCACCTTTCACAGATCCAGCAGTTTTCTAAGAAGGAGATAGAGGATCTGTTGAGGAAAGGTGCTTATGCTGCTATTATGGATGAAAATGATGAAGGCAGTCGCTTCTGTGAGGAAGATATCGACCAGATCCTTCAACGCAGAGCTACTACCATCACCATCGAGAGCGAAGGAAAGGGCTCCACATTCTCAAAGGCAAGCTTTGTGGCTTCAGAAAACCGCACAGACATCTCTCTGGACGACCCAGAGTTCTGGCAAAAGTGGGCAAAGAAAGCAGACATAGATATGGACTCCATGAACCGAAAGGTGCATTTTCTTTCAATTCTTTTTGACAGATTTTTTGTGACTGTGGTTGTATTTTCATGTTGATTGCTTTGTTCTTAGAATACTCTTGTAATTGATACTCCACGAGTTCGCAAACAAACTCGACAGTTTTCTTTGAGAGGGGAAGGTGATGCGTCAGAACTAGATAGTGATGAGGAATATCCACCAGCAAATTCTCGACAGTCACGAGCTTCGAGACGGGCGGAGCGCCACAGCGGAGGAGGATACGGCCGCACAGACTGCTTCAGAGTCGAGAAACACCTCCTCGTCTATGGGTATACCTCACTGCCCACGTTTACGTTTTCATTTCCAAACAGGTTTGCTGACTTGTGCTTGACTTATAGCTGGGGGCGCTGGCGGGACATCCTCTCCCATGCGCGCTGTAAAAGGCGGCTGAGTGAACGAGACGTGGAGACCATCTGCCGTGTCATCCTCGTGTTTTGTCTCATCCATTATCGTGGCGATGAAAACATCAAAAGTTTTATCTGGGAACTTATCACACCCCCAGAAAATGGACGGGAACCTCAAACTTTACTGAACCATTCTGGTATGTCTTCTTGATGGTCTTCAGAATTACAAGTAGAGTTAGTTTGGTCATAGTGCTTTTTTCCAGGTTTGTCTATTCCTGTGCCACGAGGGAGGAAAGGAAAGCGGGTTAAGGCTCAGAGTACTTTTGATGTTCAGAAAGTTGAATGGATCAGAAAGTACAATCCTGACACTTTACTGCTGGATGACAGCTATCGCAAACACCTCAAGCATCAGTGCAACAAGTGAGTGGAGTATTGACAATGTCACATTGCTGTATGTATTTAGTTACAAAATTGTTCTAATACGCTCTGTCTCATAAGGGTGCTGTTGAGGGTGCGTATGCTTTATTACCTAAAGCAGGAAGTGATTGGCGAGCATTCCGATGTAGTCCTCAAAGGAGCGGACATCAGGTCAATTATTGAACAATTATCAAAAACACAATTAACCTTGAATCTGAACCTAACTGAGTTTTTACATTTACAGAGATTTGGACATCTGGATGCCAGAAATGGAGCAAACAGAGGTTCCCTCAGCCTGGTGGGACTTGGAGTCAGACCGCTCACTGCTTGCGGGTGTATTTAAACATGGTAAGTTTTGCCCCATTTGTGTCATTTTTGTCATAATTACTGTTCAGTAGATAATTTGTGTTCTAAATTTGCAAACAGGTTATGAGATGTATACGACCATGAGGGCTGATCCCTGCCTCTGTTTCTTGGAGCGAGTGGGTCGTCCGGACGATAAAGCAATCGATGCTGAGCAACACACTGGCGATGCAGAACTTGGCGATGAGTGAGTGATTTATTTTTTTTAATGTGTGTATATATAACTAAATGCTTAAAATTTACTTTTCTTTATGTAAATTGTAGTGCTGACTTTGACAAGTATTCAGAAGACCCAGAGTTTAAACCGGCATCCAGACTACCCAAAGACATCTATGATGAGGTGTGTTTTTAGTCCGCATTACTCGACTATTGTGAATGCATTTAAAGTAATTTTGTCTGATTCTTATGATTTTTTTTCAGCCGGATTCTATGAACGTAGAAGATGAGATTTCTGTGGATGACAAAGCGACGCCTGTTACCTCAGATTCAGCTCCTGCTCAGAGTGGTCCCTGTCAGTGGCCTTCGAGTTCATTACTAACGGCACGACTGCGAAAGCTGATCACGGCGTATCAGCGCAGCTACAGACAAGAGCAGCTGAAGATGGAAGCTGAGGCCAAAGGCGACCGCAGACGAAGAAGATGTGAGCAAGCGAGCAAACTCAAGGAGATAGCGCGACAGGAACGGCAGCAAAGGTATAATCTTGGTTCTGTTAACATTTATAGGCTCTGAATGAATAGAATTTTTTGCAAGACTTAAAACTTTTTCAATAAATGTCATAGATGGACACGCAGAGAAGAATGTGATTTCTATCGCGTGGTGTCTACTTTTGGAGTTGAGAAGATGAAGAAGGAGCCAGGCTTCGAGACCATAGGAGCTGAATTTGACTGGACTCGCTTCCGCACGTTTGCACGTTTAGACAAAAAAACTGATGAGAGTCTGAGCAGATACTTCAAGTCATTTGTTGGAATGTGTAGAAAAGTCTGTCACTTGCATCCAGCTCATGCAGAAGGTATCTGTCTAAATCAGAATCAATTTGTTTCACAGTTTATGAATTCAGTTGTTTACATTACTTTAACCTGTGTTTGTAGATCCAGCAGCGCCGTCTGTAGCTGTAGCTCCAATCACAGAGGAGCGTGCTTCCCGTACCCTGTACCGCATTAGCCTTCTGCGCCGCCTCAGAGAGCGTGTCCTGCCCCACCCGTCTCTGGAAGAGCATCTGGCCATGGCTCCTCCCAGTGCGGAGCTCCCCGCCTGGTGGAGCACCCCGGAGCACGACCGTCAGCTGATGCTGGGTGCATCGCTGCACGGCGTCAGCCGCACAGAGCTCTCCATATTTGCAGACACACAGTTCACTTTCACTCGAGCTCGAGACGAGTTTGTCCTAAATCAGCAAGCGCCTCCTCCCCTTCCTCTACAGCCCCAGAGCTTAATGCCTCTTGGGCCAAAGTCCGAAGATGAACTCCCAACGTTGAAGGAAGAGGGACCTGAGCACCAGCTGCTCGGAGCGGAACTCACAAACACTCCTCTGAGCCACAGTGTGAAGCCTGGAGACCAGAGCTGGGGCTTCAAGAGGAGCAAGGTGAAATCTAGCCGCAGGAAAGAAGGAGGTTCTGACACAGACTCGGACTCTGACTCGGGCTCATCGTCGTCTGATCGCTCTGGCAGCAGTGACGACAGTGGAGACAGCGACGACGAGGGAGATGGAGGTATCATTTCTAACCACACACGGAGGATTCCGCTTTCTTCAAGCTTTACATGTATTGCTTCTTTCAGCAGGCATTAAAATGAGTGATGAAAATAGTTTACTTTCAATCACTCAGTCTCAAGATGGTAATCCCCCTCCTGTCAGAGTTGAGTGGCCAAAGGTAAAAGTGACCTAATTGTTCTTGTAGTACCTCTGCTAAAACATAAAACTAAATCTTACTTATTTTTTTCAGGACCGTGTGCTTATCAATAGACTGGATAATTTGTGTAATCTGGTGCTGTCTGGTCAGTGGCCTTCAGGGCGGCGGTATTTACCAGAAGTCCAGTTGAACCCCACCTCTGACTTTGGAAGTGATGAAATGTCCTATACAAGGTTAATGCGTAAACCTCTTCAGCTGGTCCCAGGAGCTGAGGGAGAGGATGGAGAGTTCACAGTCAAACTTCTCAAGGTGAGAATATTATTTTTGTATTATCTGCTAAGTAAAGTTTAAGAAAATTAATAAGACTTTTGCCAATTGCCAAACGTTAAGTTTACCCATTCATTTACTAGGAGGAGGGATTGAAGCTAACCTTCTCTAAGCAGGCACTTATGCCCAATGGCTCAGCGGGAGAGAGCAGTCGCAAGAAACGCAAGGATCTCGAGGTAAAAATATGTGCTTTTTCTTTGGGTGAACATTTACTTATGTTCTTCACTTATACTGACCACTATAAACCAAGACAGTCATTTAATATATACAACATTTCAACTAAATAATTGAACTTTTCTGTTCAATATTTTTTGTATTCTATATTACTCTGCTTCCAGCCCCCGCTAAAAGATCAAGGCATAGACAGAATAGCCATCCTCCTGTGGACTCACCCCCTGCAGCAGGATCAGTAAGGGGCTGGTGCTCTGTTAACTGGGTGGCATGTGATTGCCACCCCCCACCCCCTGACCCAGAAATGGAATAAGGGGTAGAAAAAGGAAGGATGGATCTATATTAAACCTTTTTGGGGGCAGAGTTTATTCAGAAACGTTTCGCAAAATAGAAATAAGAGATGAAAGACAAAAATCTACTTGTCCCTTGCCTCATTTAGAAATCGTCAAGCAAGTCAAATAAAAAAAAAAAAATCACATATTTGAACATTCTTTTGTTACTCCATTGCTAATGTTACATTTGTAACAGTTTTCAGATCCAGAGGATTCACTGGAGCGGACTCCTCGTCGTAGAGACCCTCCCACATGGCTGAAGGAGAACCCAGAGTATGAAGTCGAGGGAGACATGCTGGAGGTGGGCATCACTTTCAAACATTTAGCTCTCGGTCACATGAAGAAATAAAAATTGTATCGTACGCTACAGACATTGTTTAAAGGAATAGTCTATATGTATCTCATTTGAATATAGTATATAAGATGTCATCATTGGATGCACTCGGCCCACACTATCTCCTTCACTTGCTTTAAACTTTTCCCAAAGAAATCAATGCATACCGCGGTACAATAGTTTAACTTAAATGCTGTCATCCCTGACAACACTTTTGACACCCCTGATCTACATAGATGTGGCTGACGTGATGTTCTGAAAGAGAAGTTGCCTAAACCGATGCACAAATAAACTTTCTTTGGTCTGGAACTGAACCAATAGTCCCAGATGCGCCATGTCTTTAGACCTTTATGATGACATGTTCTCACTGGCTCCTTTTGTGTTCAGCTTCTAGTGAACAGGAGCAAACGGAAACGAAGGCGGAAGATCAACAAAGTGTTGACCGGTACAGAGAAGGTCAAACTGATCAACATGAGAACAGGGAAAAAGGTAAAACATTATTTAAAAAGCCCAAAACCTCTTCACATTTCAGTCAAATGTATCTGCAACATGTCAGTAGAATGTACTTTTTAGATTGTGTGAGTGTCAAACCTTTCAAAGAGTGATCCTTTTGCAGGTTGCTGCACCTTTCTGTCCAATGATGCAAGACTTGAGAGAATATCTGGAGGAAAACATGGATAATGCTGTGGCCCCGGATTGGTCTGAAATTGTGCGCAAGTCTGTAAGTTAATTTGTTTTTACATTTTAGTGTTGCAAAAATCATTGGCTGTAAAGAATAATCACCCAAGATGCAACTTTGAGTTTGTCTGAGTATGAACTGTGCAATACAAATTTTGCTTTACAAAACAAAGGAGTTAAAGTTGGGCCTAATAGAGGTTTTTCCCCCGGATCAGGTCTCAGCCAACCCCTGCTCCACAGCAAGATAACTGGAGTTTCAAAATGTTTTGTTTGTAGCGATTGCACTGACCAAACACGGTTGTTTTCATAATTTATGAGACCAGTAACTTTTTAATCAATTAAATTACAACGTAAGTATTAAATAGTTGTCAACTATCTATTAATCAATTAATGGTTTTGGAACCTCACATAGCTCAAAAAAGGTTTTCTGACTCATCTGATATCACCAATGTAGTAATAGACCAGGATTGGTGTTTTGGGTTAGAGGTTAGGGCTCAGGTTCACTATGGTTAAGAATGGGGTAAAGGTTAGGGCTATGAGTCCAGGATCCGTTTGTAACTGATTCTGAACTTGCTTCACCCGTCTTTTATCACAAATTCTATAATACTGAAAACACATATAAAACCAAAGTTTTATTTCATTCTGCAAACAACGCAATATGTAGCAAGGCATCTCTATGGAGATGTTCTCCAGAGCCATCACAATAGTTTTGGTTAATTGTAGAAAAAATCCCATATTCACTGACCTTTCAGAATCTAAAACCAACTAATCAACCAATTGCAAGAATAATCGTCCAGCTAATCGAATATCAAAATGATAAATAAATATCTATATCCCTATAAGGCTCTTGTGAGGCTGACTGCATGTTTCAGTGAAGGGCACCTGGATAATTTCGCTTTCACGTGTGACTAGAGTTAGCCTTTCTGAGGACGTAGATTATGGGAGTCCTGACTTTAGGCAGCAGTGATGTGTTTTGCAACTATAATCAGTGTTGGGAGTAACACGTTACAAAAGTAATGTAATTACTGTACTGTAATGTAATACTTTTTGCTGTAACGCTTTAACGTAAATTATTCCCAAAAATTAACAAAACCAGGTAATATAGCTTGAGACCACTCACTTTGATAGTGTTAAAACCTGCTAACTGAGCAGAGCTACGTGCAGTCAGGCCCAAGTGAAATCCTTGTTATTCTGTTAACTTTTACGTACTCTAAAGGTTCAATGTTATTTGTTTTTGAAAGGGTTTCCTGCCTGAACATCTATTCCACCGTCTTCTAAATGAGGATTCAGAAATTCCCAAAAAGATCAAAAAGCGCCATCACCACCACCACCACCACCACCACCACCACCACCACCTGCTCCAGCACAGCACAGACCCTGCCGTCGAAGAGCCAAGCCTGGACGGCGTGGAGGAGACCCTGGTGTCGGACGGAGCGTACATGATGGATGAGGAGGAGCTGGAGACCTCCCATCACTTCCTCACCAGTCCAGACTTTGACATGAAAATGGAAGGCGCGGACAGCCTTTCGCAGGACTATGATAGCTCTGATCAAGAAGCGCTTTTGGAAGACGTTATTTTGGCCCAGAAAGATACGGACTCCTCATCCAGTTCAGAAGATTGACTGGAGCCCACACCATGAACAAATCAAACTGTGTCCTCATTGTAGAAAAAAAATCATGTTATTCCTCATTTATTTTAAACGGTGTATGAAATAATGGATAAATGTTTTGTTGCTTCTTTTATTTGTTTATTTTAAATAGGTTTTTTGTTCATGTTTGCACCCTTATTTTTCATTTTCATCTTTATTATCTTTGTGTCCAAATACACACACTTTTTTCATGACTTTTGCCTCCTCTTCCACCAAATCTTGAATTCCTCTTACATTCCCAGCCGCGACCAAAAGAGGACTCCCTATTATACTGATCGCTCTTTCTTATCTACAGACCTCGATAACTGGACTGAGCCTCCAAGCTGCCACACGCTCTGCACCAGGAGCTGCGTGTGAATGTACTGTTATTGTTTTAATGTGGGATGGAAAGGAACACATTTGTTACTGACGCAGGACTAGAGGATGGCTGTGTTGTACATTGTAGAGCTTGTCAATTGTGTACTATGGTGCAATGAGATGACGGCAATGAGTTACTATTGTTTTATGACCTGACTGTATCTGTGATGAATAACAGCAATCTACAGTTAAGCTGCTTTGTGTGAATTATTGACACTTTACTGACGCTTTTTAATGTGCTACACCTCAGTTTACATGTTTATTAGTATTTGATCTGTAAACATCTATCAATAACGTGTATTCTGTAATCCAGAATACTACTATTCTAGCCATGATTTACAAACCTTAAGTCATTTCTAGATATTCAGTTTAAACGTATTGTAATGGGTCATTCCAAAATTAAGTTTTATAGGCACTTTAGCATTTCTCAAACAAACATTTCTTTGATTTATTTAGATATGGGCCTTGTGCCTATGAAACACAGAACAATCATACAGTTGTAGAAGTGCTTCATACTAGCTAAGACGTTACCTGGCAAAGGTCAGATTGATGATTGTGTAGGACTACAACAGTCCCATACAGAGGCTCTCAGCCACTTGGAGAGGGTAAGACATCTGCCTCTGGTCCAGTACTCTGGCCTTGTATTCAGAGCGGCTGAGTTTCATTGGAGCCGCTTTTGGTCACAGTTTCTCCGTTAGGTTCACAGGTCCAACTGCTCCTCAGCGCCTGCGGTCACAATAAAATAGAAGAATGGTATTGTTGAAATCTTGTTGTAAATCCTCATACAGATTTGCTGGAGGTACTTCACTCTCAACTCTGTTGGAGCTTCTCCTAGTTGCGGTCTAGTTGGTGTCACTTACATTCTGATGTGCAGGTAAAGACTGAACACTCTTTATCTCTGATATTGGCTTACAAATGTTTGGATGCGTGTTCTTTGGACTATTTGTGGCTGGATTTGGAAGTACAACAGTCATTGTAGAACACTGAGCTTGAGTTCCTTCAATAAAAAAACAAGTTCATTAATGTAAGTAACAATATGTCTGCATTCAACTGTGGATCCTAAATGGACCCTAAGAGTCCAGCTCACCAGGCACGTGTCCATGTTATTGGTCCAGAGTCAGAATGGCCTCTCACTGTGTAGAGTCAGGATCAGGGTGGTCTCTAGTGGTGCTTCACTGCAGTAGTGTGGTTGATACCATGGACAGCTCCATCAGCGACACATCCATCTGAACAGTAGGAGCAGACTGAGTCTCTCATTCATAGGTTCACGACTTATTTGAAGACGACTCACCGGGACATGAACACTGTCTCCTCCTGGAACACAAATCTGGAAACAATCTGAAGACATCTTTGATAATGACACAGGGCCAGTTAAAGTTGTCAGTGTGTGTTCCTCATGTGCTCATTCACACAATGACTGTACGATGACTTTATCACAAACTCTTATTTCATGTGGTGGTGTGTGTGTGTCTTTTTCAGTGCTGTCAAAGCTGGGAGTGCCTTGTCTCCGTCCTCAGCCCAAACAAAAAACACAAGGGCACATGGACACAAGACCCACTCTTTGTCAATGGTTTTGACTTACTGTTAAATACTGTCAAATATGACTTGTGGATGTGAGGAAATGAAGGGAGAGATATTGTTCCTTTATTATTGTATTCATGAAGGTTTTAAAGTGATTGTAGAAAAGCCCACAGGGACAGAATATTGTAAAGGTGTATTTGCCTTTTAGTTATAGTCTGCATGCATAACATCAGCTTAGTTTGACAAATATGTCTGGCCACATTGTCCATGTCAAACCAAAATGAAATCAAATTAGTAAAAAAAAAAGTACAATGAATAAAAAATAAATACAATGAAATAAATAAAATAAATTAACATATTTGGGGACCACAGGATTTCATCTCTGCTGTTGGCAGACAATGTTGTCCTGCTGGTTACAACAAACCAGGACCTTCAACATGCATTGGGACTGTTTGCAGCCGAGTGTGAAGCGGCTGAGATAAAGATCAGCACCTCCAAATCTGAGGCCATGGGGCTCAACCAGAAAAAGCTGCCTCGCCCTCTCCAGGTGCAGAGGTCCTTCCTCCAGTGGAGGAGTTCAAGAATCTCGAGGTCTTGGTCACGAGTGAGCCTCTCGTGAACAACCTCTGGTCATAAGCTTTGGGTAATGACCGAGGACGAGATCACAGATACAAGTGGTCAAAATGAGTTTCCTCATGTCCTCAATGTCCTCACCCCTTTATAGGCCATATTAGACCCTCAAAGGGACCAATGTGGTCCACGGGCCCCAGCTTGGGCATCCTTGCTCTAGAGTGAACACAAGGCCAGGCGTACTATGCAGGAAAACACACTAGAGTCAGCTTAAGCTCTTATTTCCATTCTCAAATACAATCAAGTCACTGTGTCATTTTAGAGAGTGAGTTTCTCTGTCAAAGTTGACCTGTGTCTAACACGTTCCTACATAGTTTTCCTGTCCTTTGATTTAAAAAAGCACATCAAAGCAGTGGGTATCGCAGTAACCATCAATAAATCAATCAACAAACTTTATTTCCATAAAGTTTAAAGGGCTGGTTATTGAACGCCTCCCCAGAGGAGAAAGCAAGGAGTACTATGGAGGACAGAGTGAGGCTGAAGATCTCTGCTCACATGAGGATCATCTGTGGACTTACTGCTCATGCTCAAGTTGCTTCTGCTGTGGAGACTAATGGAGGATTTCAACTTTATGGAAGTCCTAAATAGATTTCTTTGCCTTCTCCTCTTTTGAAACAAACCATAGCAACACACTATTTACTTACTTCAACACAAACTTACTATTACGTAAAAAAAGAAATAAGATTCTAATTACACTCTATTTACAGGTGTTCAGGAATGTTCACTGTCAGTATAAAATAAATAAACACAATAGATGGGTTATTGCCTCAAACCATATAGATATATTATATGTTTGCATTATTGTTAATATAAAAAATAATAATAAATCAACATCCTCTTTAGTGAACACTTCTAGCGCCCCCTCGTGTGTAGGCGGTGAACCTGTCTGTGCCATGGAGGACAATCCACTGCCCTGGAGATGTTTGCATATTTTACTCACTTTTTAACTGCGCCATATAATAAACCTCCAGAATTGCACCGATTTTGGCCGTTCACATTTTAAGTCGCTATATTGAAATAAACACACATGGTTTGCGCAGAGATGTTGACAGCATGAGCACAGTCGGTTGCTAAGCTAACTTGCTAACAGACAGTGAGCTAAACTTGGCAAACTATTAAGACGATACAAACCTTGCCTTAAACGCAGACGTTTAGCTGTGTATAAGCGTACTGTTTTGACAAATTCGTATGCGATTCTCTTCGAAAATGGACCTTCATTTTTACTCTGAACTCTCAGACAACCAAAACGTGGATTCTGCGTTTCTAAACACACAAGCCTTTAATGGTTACGCTGAAGGAAATAAGGTAAAAACTGAATTTATGCCCATTATAATAAGCGAAACGTTGACATATATTGTATTTACTAATGAGGAATAAATGTTTTCAGTTTTCTGGGGGAGGAGACAATTATCTTACAATTGATGGAGGTGGTCACCCCTTTCTATCTGCAGAAGTGAGTGTCAAATAGATGAAAAGTAACGTTACTGTGACATTTGATGCATTGTTTTGAATGTCTTCTGTTTACTTGATCTTCTATAGCATACATTTCACACACCTAGTCTAGGGGATGAGGTTTTTGAGATCCCTCCCATCTCCCTGGACCCAGATCCAGCTCTAAACATCAGTGAAGATGTGTCCCACTATGAGACACCCGGGTCCCGCAGTCTTGTGAGCAACATGGTAGTGGAGGCCAGTGACCCTTCATTCGCTTCAAGCTTTTTCAACTCCTCAACCCAAGGCATTGACCGACAAGCAGAAGGTCACGCTGAGGGAGGGGTTCTTCTAAGCTCATCAGCCTTGGTAAATAGTTGTATGCAGCTGTATGTTATATACTTTAAAATAATTTCTGTGTCTGTGCTTGTAGGAAATGGGAAATTCTGTGTCACATTTTGGTAGCTCTTCACCAATGACTATAGATGTTCAACTTGGCGATATGGAGCCAGATCTTTTGGGAACCAGTCAAATTGGAACTATAAACCCATCAGAGCTCACACTGGGTCTTGGAGACGCGGGGGACCGATCTGAAGTTATTCCCTCAACGCCGTCACCCGCAAGCTCCCTGCAAGACGAGGATATGGATGACTTCAAGGTTGGACCATATTAAGTTATCGTTGAATAGATAATCACTAGAGCAATATATTTTGGACTAGCCTGTACATTATTATCGTAAATATCGAGAGATTTTTAATTTTACACGTATAATGATAATAATAATAAAGCATGGGTTTAATATAGCGCTTTTTTTGGGCACTCAAAAAATTCATTATTGTCATTATTCATTCACTCCGTACACAGTGGTGATAAGCTGCCCTGGTTCCCCATTTTATGAAATATGAAATTATGAACTGAGTATTGAGTGTGTTCACAGTAAAGTGACAATTGAAGTATCTGGACTTTAAAAGGTTATAACTTAAAAACTAAAATTACTTTCATAGATTGGAAAAAAGATTTCAAACACCGACACATTGAAGAGATAGTGTGGAAAAAATCAAAAGGAAAGATTGACATAAAAATGTTTAGCAACATTTTAAACGACCAAATCAGCCTCTGATTGGACCATTCTACTGTGACGCCAGTTACATAGAAAATAAAATGTCCTCAGTCTGAAAAAGCAGAAGATGAAATCCCACAATATTTACATGGTTAACACAACAGAAGGAAATCACTTGATATAAAAAGTAATCGTAAAAAAATAAAAATAAATTAATTAATTAAATGACCCCTGAAAAATGTATAACGGACGTGATGAGGACGGTCCTCTTTTCTCTAAAAATTTAACTTGAGAAAAAAAAAATCTGGTCTGTTTTCACATTTAATTGCTTGACAATATGAAAGTATCACTTTGCATCTACTTTGTGTAAAAAAAAATAGAATCTCTGAATCAAATGTGGACATCTGAAAATACCTATCAAACTTCCACAAAGCCCATTCCGTCAAATCATCACGTCCGTTACATAAAATAAACAGGGCCGCTATAGGAAACTTGTCTAATGTATAAAACGGTTATGTTCTAGCAACTTCTATTGGACAGAGGAGGTGTTTGGAAACATGAAAAACATAAAATATCTTCTGATTATTAAAATCTAATTTTTGGCCTTTTGTCACACTTTTGTGCCCTTTAGTGTGAACAAGCCCATATAAACCTTATACATATTCAAAACAATTAAAATGGTGATTATTCAATATATAAGCCACCTTTACTCACCACTGTAAATAGATTAGTTTACCAATTTACTCTTCATTTATTCTCATTCCTCTTTATGTTATAATGTTTCATTCATCAATGTTACTAACTTTTATTGTGCTTCATAATTACATTTCATTTGTCCGAACATAAAGAGGCTTGTTTGAGGAACATATCATGAACAAATCGGATCACATCATACTGAGCTGATTCGTCCTATAGGCACGCGATACACAGCCATGTGAAGACTAGTGATAGAACCATATTGTTCTGAGAGTTGAACTAGTTACATGGGCTTAATTTGCTTCTAATGAAGTTGAAATGTCAGTAAACATGGAGGAGTTAAAAGATTGTTGTCTTTATTTCAGAAGAGTGTTCTCGTGGACTCTCCGCTCACCACCTCCTCAACTGCGGTTTCACGCATTTCGATTCAGGGTAGCACAACCTCCACGATCCAGAGGGGGAAACCTGCTCCTCTGGCCTCCCCCACAAAAAGAGGGCGCAGGAAAAAGGACCCCAACGAGCCGCAGAAGCCTGTGTCTGCGTACGCTCTGTTCTTTAGAGACACTCAGGCCGCCATCAAAGGACAAAACCCAAACGCAACTTTTGGAGAGGTGTCTCGAATAGTGGCATCAATGTGGGATAGTCTAGCAGAGGAGCAGAAACAGGTACGATATCCATTTTGACACCACAGTGTTGAATGAGCTGCAATTTTTTAACATAAATAAGAATGAATCACAATAGTACTTGTAAACCCGATGGTTTTATATACATTCTTAGATTATAATAATGCAGCTCCTCCATTAAAAAAGTTTATTTCACTGAGCTCAGAAATTTCATCTCGAGCCACTCGGTCGACTGTTCGGGGCGAGTGTAGGATTCCTCAGTGTAAAACAGCATTCGGCAGCTCAGCCTTCTCCAGTGTGGCCATCAGACAGTGGAATATGTTGCCAACAGAGCTGACCACATGTGTACGTTTTAACACTTTTTCTCACCAGGCCAAAAAATGGCTTCTTTTAAAACAAACCTGTTCCCATAAAGTAGTGTAAATTGGTTTCATTTTAATGCTGTTTAGGGGGAAATGTATTTTTAACATGTGTAATTTTCTAAAACTTTGTATGTTGACATCAGTCTGCCCAGGGACTGCAGGTGGAAATTAGCACAAGTGCTACAACCTGGTACAATGCATCTCTCCTTTCTGAGGTTAATGTATATTGTACACTGTCCCTGTTCAAATAAATAAATAAATGAAATGAAATGAAATAATAATTCACAATCTGGATTTTTTTTGTGGATTTTTGCTAGTATTGAAATATTCTGAAATTAGTATCCATCATTGATACTATTTTTAGTATTGATTTAATATCAAATATGGCTTTGTTCAAACTGGTGCAATTGTGATTTTTATATCTGTTGCTATCTAAAGCTGTTGGCATCATTCAAACATCAACAAAGGTGTTAATAATAATAATAATACAATTTCAAAATGCACTATCTTTAGAATTAAATCTTCCATGTTATGGCACCTTCCAGTGCCATAACACTATTAATTTGTGTGAAAACTTGGAGCCAATTGTCAAAAAATAGAATGGTGTTTATACATGCTCAATCAATATTGATATTGGCCTCTCAATCTCGACAGAAAGTATAGTATCTGTGTGACATGAATGCGGCTTTATGATTATGTCTGTAGATGGATCTCATGCCTATTATGGACGGCAAAAATCCCCCTGTTTATTTTTCTCTTTCAGTGAGTATATGACAAATCTTGTTTATATTAATCTCCTTATGCTCATTTTGCTTTGGGACCAAATAGAAGTTTGTGACAGTTGCTCTGAAGCAGGATCAGGGCTTTTTGCCGCCTAATATAAAAACTGTATATGAAAGTTATCCATACAATGATGTTGTTTTTTCTTAGGTTTACAAGAAAAAGACAGAGATTGCCAAAAAAGGGTATTTGAAAGCATTAGCGGCATACAAGGCCAACCAGCTCTCACGGGTAAGACGAATTACAGTTTTGTTTATTAATTTGTTAAGTCTTATTTTTCATAACAAATTCAAATGTTTTCAATCAGTCGACCTCTGAAGAGTTGGAGGCCGGGTCGACGTCGCCCCAGGGAGAAAACGGCCCCGTCTGCAGTGAAGAATCGGCCCCCCTTATTTTAAACACAGGGACCAAACCCACCATCACTAAGATCCTCATCCCAAAACACTTGCTGCAGCCAGGGCGCCAGGTAGTGACTTTGTTGCCAGGTGGGGTGCGCACTCTGCAGCCCTCCGCACTCCTCGTCCCCGCTGCGGCCCGCGGCCCTCCTCCTCTGCAGCAGATGCAAAACGCTCCTCCACCACCGCGGCTGCAGCAGATGGCACCGGCTCCTCCGCGGCTACAGGCCAAGCCCACCACGGCACCGAGCGTGTGCGCGGCGCCGCCGCCGCTGCAGATAAAGATTGTACCCGCGCCCGTGCAGCCGGTGGAGCTGGTGGATGAGCATGAACCTGCGGAGGACGACGATGTTTCGGAAGAGGAGCCGGTGGAAGAGGTGTGCTGTCATTTGGTATCATTTACAATAGAGCTGCCCAATATAAGAAATATCTATTGCCCATCTTCATACATTTAATTTATTTTCCATTCCAACCATTTTTCTAACCAAAAAAAGTTTAGGCCAAGACTTTTAGACTTATTCACAACATTTACTACGAGAGGCACCTATTTTGGGCAAAAGAGCTTGGCTCGCGGCGCGGCGTGCCTCTGCACACTCCACGCTAGTCTTTAGGCTTCAAATGACGCATATAATGTGTAGGAGCCGTAAACAAAATGTATATGATTTATATAATTAGTTTTCTAATAAGTTTTAAAACTTATTAGAAAAGTGGTGTTTCTCATTTGAGTGATTGTATTCAGTGATTCATTTATGTTTAAATAATCTTGCCCTGCCTTATTCCTCTGAGATACACCCACTGCTCTGAAGGTTGTTCTCTGGTCTTTCTTATTCTGTGAAACCTGATTCATTTGTTTTACTCATTAGTTTATCAGTATATGATAATAATCAAGTTATTAAGCGTCATTTCAACACATTTTCTTCTTATAGGATGTGATGGAGGTGAGTGCAGCCCCAGTTTGCTCAGAGATGGTCTGCCTCAGAGCTGGGTGCAACAAACCTGCGGTGGTCAGTGAGGACTGGGACAAAGAATACTGCAGCAACGAATGCGTGGCCACACACTGCAGGTAAGAGGGCTGGAGTCGTTATAGAGAACACTTATCCTTTACTAAAATAATTCATTATTGAAATAACGTAGTCTTTATACATGAGAGTATTTATATTCTCCCGACGCTGAGATTTGACGTGTTTTGACTTTTTGTTGTCCTGTTTTGATGAAAGGGTCTGAGATTTTGAGGGTTTTTTCACCAGTAACTAAAGACCAGTGAACGTTGATATTATGCCACTGAAACCACTTGTTCTTGTTTTTTTAGGGATGTTTTTCAGGCCTGGTGCTCCATCAGAACTCATTCTGTCACTGCAGTGAACTGAAGTCTGCGGCGACATCGGACTCTTCGCCAGTGTTTGTCTCATTGTTTAAATACATCTTGTCTTTGTTTTTTCATTTTTCTTTATTACAACAGAGACTTTATCAAAGGTGCATTGAAAGCAGTACAGGAAACGCCTCAAGACTTTCGGCAGCTGAACATTACAGTGCAGAGTAGACATTTTACCAAAATTGTATTAGACTTGTTCTTGCAGTATTTTTTTATCTGTGAATTCAAAAAGAGTTGTACTGTTTGCATCTGTGTTGTAGTGGATAAGAAACATTTTGTACAGAGTCACATTTTTTATACAGTATTGTGTTTGATAACATCTCGTCTTGGTTTCTAAATAAATGAGGACAAACTGCTTTTGATTGTTTTCTATTTTAGCCCTTGTCAATAATTTTATTTATTTTTGTAACAGAAGCAGTGTTAATTTTTGCAGGGTGGTGGCCCTCTTTACTGCTATAGTTCAAACTCACTGGCTCCGCTAACACCGGCTTTAGTCCATGTAATCTCGACCTCTCGGCCCTAGTTACACACTTCAGACACAAGGCTAAATTCCTTCTCCTGCTTACTTTTGAACAGGCTTTGGGATATGTGGAACACTTGTTATATATTTATTTTTGTTTTTGATAATTATTTAGTATTAATGAACAGCAGTGATGTAAATACACTAGATTGTCGCCTTAGTCTAACTTCCATCTGTTTTTGCACTCAAGTCACTCTGAACATGTGTTTATTTGTCACAGAAATATGTTTTTTAACATACATGTAGACAGAACATCTTAAGTCTTTCCACTAAAGTGTCATTTAACTCAAAGAATTTCCAAATACATATTGGAAAATAGATGTAGTCGGCAATCATCATGGATTGAAGTTGATAGGGATTGTATTACTTTGTGAAAGCCTAAACCTCTCCCAGACCTTTACAATAGTTTTGTCTTCTGGTACATTGATCTAATCCATTGAAATGAATCAATCTTTGTGCATTAAAAAAAATTAATCTTATGTCAGCAATACAGGTGAGGTTTTATTTTGTCAGAGAACTCTACTCTTCCGCTTACAAAGTTCATGTCTCTTTTTATGCCCTGGCCTGAATAAGTGGAATTGGTCTGATTGTGTTTGGTTATCTGACTGTTATGGAAACATTCATATTATTGTGTGTGGCCTTTCAATCAGCAAAGAGGACTTTCTAGAGACACAGCATTTCTCCAAGTCCTCCAGTCCCAGATAACTGAGTACATAGACAAAATCTCTAACTAAGTTAGTGTAATTCCTTACTTCGGGGCCAATCCCAAAAGCTTCATTTTTTCTTTATCAGTACATATTAACAATGGGAGTGGTGACAACATAACAATAAAAACATTTGGACAATTTCTTTCTCCTTTCTCTCTGAGCTGTATTGGCACATTCCCTCCAACTAAATCCTTCTACCACATCCAACCCATTATGTTTCTTTGATCTTGAACGCCTTCACGATGGAGGCAGAGCTGGAGAGGTCGGCTCTGTACAATCCGATCCCGAGGCACAGGGGCTCCGTCAGCTGAGTCTCACTGAACTCGTACAGCTTGGTCCCCGCGCCTCCCTCCGAGCTGAAGGCGATGGTCCCTCTCACGAAACTCACAGCCACCGCTATCCGGCTCGACCTCAGACTTTTCTCCAGAGCAGTTTTCTCTTTGTTGTGAAGCACGTACAGTTTGCCTTTATCCGTGTGTGTGAGGCTCCACGACTTTGCGTTGCTTCCAAACGAACTGGTCTCTTTGACTTTGCGCTGAATGCTCTTGAAAGTTACAGCGATCTCCCAGTAGCCGCTGACCTCCACCTCCCAAACGTGTGTGCCGGAGCTGAAGCAGTGGGAGGAGATGACCTGGGGGACCTCTGTGAAGCGCTGTCGGCTGTTGGGATACTCCAGCCGGGTTTTTACTCGCTGCACGGTCTGCAGATCCTCAGACACTTTGAGGAACGGACTCACACTATCCAGGTCCAGCATCAGGCTCTCTGGACACAAGTGATGTGTTAGGGTCATAAAGGATACCAAACCAGTGTACACAACTTCACTGATGAATCCACTTGTTGCCATGAAGCTTAGAATTCATCTCGTGTTTTTGCTGATGTGTGAAATGACTATAATTCAGTTTATTTTAGATTACTAGTAAAATACAGAGTTCTATTGTTTGTTATAAGAGCCAACAAAGAGTCTTTGTTCTTATCAGACTTTAAAGGCACAGGGTAGAAAAACACTTAGCTATCATCATTGTAATATTCTGAGTAAGTATAAATTACTGAGTTTTGACTCTGAAAACCTTTCATTTCAAACAGTGGAATCAGCTTCCAGACAGTCTAAAATTGTCTGTAGATCGGAAACATTTTACTATACTATTTTACTCCTCAGAGTGTCAGTCAAGCTGCATAGGGAGTCAGTTTGCTGGGAGAAGTATGGTAACTTGAGCACTATCCTCTCCTCCTTCCTACTTTATCTGTTTAGCATTTTTAGGATTCTGACTGTAGTTTGTTCATTGCTATTCACCCGTTGTCCCATTGTCTGTTTCATGGTACGATGACGGGATCTCTGAGCCTGGCCTCTTCCATCTACACCTGCGGACTGCCCCGCCCGACCCGCCTGGGAGTGCTTCGGTCCTGCACCGGACCTGTCCACGTTCAGCGGCCACTGGTCCACGTTGCTAGCTTAGGTCCTAGATCATTAGCCTGTCCGTCCGGAGGAGCGGATCCCTTTCTCATATGGGTCTCCCTCCCTGTGGGTTTCCCTAGTGCTCCCCAAGGTTTCTCACGTTTTCCCACTGGGTTTTTTTAAGAGTTTTTCCTTGTCGATGCAGGAGGGTCTTGTTGGACAGTTAGTGTCCAACAGAAAGGATTGGTGATGATCAGGACACTTTAGCATTCTACAACATGTATGGACATTTTCTTCTGTGTGTGCTTTATATTCTTCATGTGTTTTAACTGTTGATTCTCTGACCTGTGTTGGTGATTTCAATGGTTTTGTTAAGTCCTCTGAAATGACTTCTGTTGTGACCTAGGGCTATACAAGAATAAATTGTATTGTATTGTATTGTGTACTATAGATAAAAAATAAAAAAAATCACCTTTTAGACAATCAGTCTAGAATAGTCTAGATTGGCATTAGAGATTGTAATAGTTTCTACTAGCCTATGCCATTTTAAGAAAACATTTCATGTTTAATTAAATAATGTTGGGTGTGTGGACCCAACATTTAATGATGTTGGGTTCATGTGGACTGGGTCGCCTAGGTCTCCGCCTTTGACTGTCGCCCAGTCCTCTCTGCACCACGCCACCACGGACCCCTCTGCAGGTGGTGGGCCCACAGGGACTGCCTTCGGGCTGAGCCCGGCCGGGCCCCCTGGGCTTAGGCCCGGCCACCAGGCGCTCGCTTGCGAGCCCCGACCCCAGGCCTGGCTCCAGGGTGGGGCCCCGGCTGCGCCATGCAGGGCGACGTCACGGTTTTCATTTTCGTGCTGTCCATGGTTGGCTTCGGACTGCGCTTCGTCTGACTCGTCACCTGAGACCTGTCTGCCATGGGAGACCCTACCAGGGGCATGAAGCCCCAGACAACATAGCTCCCAGGATCACCTGAGTACTCAAACTCCCCCACCACGTTAAGGTGGCAGTCCAAGATGGTCGAATCTCGGATTCAGGAGGACCAGTGTGGTTTTCGTCACGGTTGCGGAACACTGGACCAGCTCTACACTCTCCATCGGATACTCGAGGGTTCATGGGAGTTCGCCCAACAATGTGCTTTGTGGATTTGACCGTGTTCCCCGGGGTGTCCTTTGGGGGGTTCTCCGGGTGTATGGGGTCCGGTCCCTCTATGACTGGAGTCAGAGCTGTGTTCACATCGCCGGCAGTCAGACCTGTTCCCGGTGCATGTAGGCCTCCGCCCTTTGTCACCGGTTCTGTTCACTGTATTCATGGACAGAATTTCTAGGCGCAGCCAGGGGCCGGAGGGGGTCCGGTTCGGGGACCACAGGATTTCATCTCTGCTGTTTGCGGACGATGTTGTCCTGTTGGCTCCAACGAGCCAGGACCTGCAACATGCACTGGGACGGTTTGCAGCAGAGTGTGAAGCGGCTGGGATGAGAATCAGCACCTCCAAATCCGAGGCCATGGTGCTCGACCGGAAAAAGGTGCCTTGCCCTCTTCAGGTGGGTGGGGAGGTTCTTCCTCAAGTGGAGGAGTTCAAGTATCTCGGGGTCTTGTTCACGAGTGAGGGAAGAATGGAGCGTGAGATTGACAGGCGGATCGGTGCAGCGTGCGCAGTGATGTGGTCGCTGTATCGGACCGTTGTGGTAAAGAGGGAGCTGAGCCGAAAGGCAAAGCTCTCAATTTACCGGTCAATCTTTGTTCCCTCCCTCACCTGTGGTCATGAGCTGTGGGTAATGACCGAAAGAACAGGATCGCTGATACAAGCGGTCGAAATGAGCTTCCTCCGCAGAGTGGCTGGGCGCTCCCTTAGAGATAGGGTGAGGAGCTCAGTCACACGGGAGGAGCTCTGAGTAGAGCCGCTGCTTCTCCACGTCGAGAGGAACCAGATGAGGTGGCTCGGGCATCTGTTCCAGATGCCTCCTGGACGCCTCCCTGGGGAGGTGTTCCGGGCATATCCCAGCGGGAGGAGGCCCCGGGGAAGACCCAGGACACGCTGGAGGGACTATGTCTCTCAGCTGGCCTGGGAACGCCTTGGGCTCCCCCCGGACGAGCTGGAGGAAGTGTGTGTGGATAGGGAAGTCTGGGCGTCTCTGCTTAGACTGCTGCCCCCGCGACCCGGCAACGGTTGAAGTGGAAGAAAATGGATGGATTTAATGTATTTATGGTTGTATGTTATTGTGAGATACGTTTTTTTTTTCATAATTGTGACTATAGATGGAAAGTGCAGCTAAATCTGGTGCAAAGTAGATTTAGCTACACAAAACCATTAGCTTTTTGTAAAGACTAAATTAAAGCATTCAGATAAACAGTCAACATGAAGTGAGTCTGTTCAATCTCATCTCTCTTTCCTTAACTCTCACTCCTGCCTTTTCGTCTTGAATGTTAAATGCTGTGCTTTGTTCTGGGAAGAGGAAGTTAGCGGTCTGCAATTGACTGCCACAGCTCCATGCTCCTGTTATACACTCACTATGTATTTTGAATTAATTACTATTACTTAAATAAAACACACAAAAGATCATTTCACCTGATGTCTCTTCAATGTAGAAAATTAGCCAATTAGCTCACAGCCTAAAGTGTCAAAGAGTGACACACGAGAAGGATTAGCAAACAAGACGATGAGGAAGACAAACATGTTGTGGTCTGATTTGTTACTTTTACTTCATGCAAAGAGTGTAATTTCTGATTTTAAAAAGTTAGGCACCACAGCTTTAAAAAATGTACACCTATGTAACCACAGAAAGCGGTCGTCGATAAAACATGGACCTAATCTACCACAATTGTACATGTACCAGATAACTGTGGTGATCAAAGCTGCACTGCAATATGTTACAAATATACTTTCTGCATGTATAAATGTATTTTTAATGTATGTATTTTCAAACATAACAAAGCGTTTTACGTTCTGGCTGTCCTACCTTCATCAAGACTGTTCACTGGAGTTTGCCATCTGCATGAATACTCCTGGTCCAGCTTCAGATCTGTCAGAAAAACGCATATCATTTAGCCATGATACAATGTTTGTACGTTATTACTTATATATGAGGGGCTGATTGCCACCTGCTATTGTGGTGTACATTTTCTGCACATGTTTCTCCTGCTTCTCCCACTTGTCGTGTAGTTTCTGGTTCTCTGAAGAGTAATTGTAAGCTGTTTGGGGATAAACAAATAATGAATACAAAAGTTGTTTTTTCAAGAAGTCCGTCAGTGTCAGTTTCACACTTACCATAATACAGAACTATGAACCACAAACACAGTAGGACGATGGTGACGCTATTAAAGCAAGAGTCGAAAGAGTTCATTCTCTTCCTCTGTAAAAGAAAATATACATATAAACAAGTGATACATTCTTGTCTTGTGTATTTTTACAACAAAAAGGTACATTTTACACATATTGGTAATCATATATCATTTGTCAGCAGAAAGATGCAATATTAAAATCTTAATTTTTCTTAACTCACTTCTTCATTGATTTCTCCTTGGAGCTTATTCACGGAGGCAGTAGATTCTGACAGCTTTTCCTGAAGAACTTTAAGTTGTCCGTCCATGTATTGCTTAAAAATAACATGGAAAAAGATTAGTGACAAAGTGCATGTATTTTTGTATCTTTCTATAAGCTTTAGAAGACAGAAAACTCAGCCTGTCAGCGCTCAGCCTTACAATAGGGATTTTCTTAAAAGCACACAGAAGATAACATGATTTCTAATAAGGTGAAGACAGCATGATGTAGCTTGACAGACTCACAGTGAGCTCGGCCTTCATCACGTTGCAGGCATGCGTTGCCAGGTCTGTCTGCTTGGTCTTGAGGGAGCACAGGTTGCAGATGTAGCGGCCCGTCACGCGGCAGTAGTAGCTCAGCACCTGGTCGTCGTGTTGGGGGCATTTGCGTTGGTGGAGGTCACTCAGAGGCTCGACCAAGGCGTGCCCCGTGTAAACCGGCAGCTCCTGGTGAGACCGAAGGTGAGTGGGGCACAGAGACACCTCACACTTCAGACATGTTTTAGAAGCAAGAGTGGTGTTCCCAGGACAGCAGTCACAGAAAACCTTCACCTCCTCTTTGATTTCCTGTTAAAAAAAGGAAAAAAGGCGTGTTAACACCAGAATTCTTTTGTTTGTTTGTTTGATGAAGGCATAACCGAAACATCGCACTTCTAATAAATTATTTTTTAATTTGCAAGTAAGACGGTGTGCAGGAATCTTTACTATCACATTAGGCCAGTGTCTCCCAAAGTGGGGTCCGCGGCCCCCTGGTGGGCCGCGAGGGTACTGCAGGGGGGTCGCGGGAGGTCATAAAAAAAAAAAAAAAAAAAAAATTATTTAATGTTAAATTTATAATGTTTTGTTTGTAATATTAAAATATTTGTGTTCATTATTTGACTTGAATAATCCACTGTAATCATTTTTGTATTACAATGTTTGTAGCAGAGGCTATTTCCCCAAAATAAAATAACCAGAAGAGCCTATTTTTAATGTTGTCTTCTTGGTTATTATTTTGGGGGGGCCACGCAGACCCGTCAGATTTTTAAGGGGGCCTCGGTGTTACTGAGTTTGGGAATGGCTGCATTAGGCTATCCAGGCCTCTCCTCCTACGCACCCAATCTGTAGGTATTGATGTGCAATTCCCTACTCCAGTCATTTAACACCAGAATTCTGAAACAACTAGAACTCTGTGGAGCAACAGATGGAAATCAGCTACAAAAGCTGTGAGATTTTTAACTTTACATACTTTTAATGCGTGTATAAAAATATATTGTAAAATCCCATGAAAAAAAAGATTACATCAGCCATCTCCAGTGGGTTCTACTCACCTGATTTCTCCCCTTGTACTCTTCTGCAATACCAGACAGAGTGTAGTTGTTTTGGACCTCTATCACCGGTCCAAAATAGGCTCTGCAGTCTGGGCAGCGGAAAGGGACTCCTGAGGTGTGGTCGATCATCCGCTGCACACAGGCGAGGCAAAGGCTGTGGCCACAGGGCAGCTGGCGTGGGTCCGTAAAGATGTCCTGGCACACCGGGCAAGTCAACAACAGAGCCAGCTGAAGCCTCTCGTTCTCTCCAGGGTTTGCCATAATGGTCTCCAGGCTTTCAGAAAGAACACATCAACATGTAAAAATCTGCTATATGCTGTCCCCAATGTTGTGTGAACTTTTTAATGGCCATGCTATACCATTGCATGACCAAGAATACACTGCGTCTTTTCATACCACAGTAAACATGGATTGGTTCTATAAATAATAATGCATACTCCTTACTTCATATAATACATTTCAGATTACTCATTCATTCTATACACCATGACGGTAAACCGCTGCTGTAGACAGAGCTGCCTGGGGCGAACTGATGAAAGCAAGGCACTAACCATCGGAACCTCGAACCACCATCAACCATGCACACGCAGACACCAGACTCAGACTGGGAAATGTAGGTGGAGTCTTGCCTACGGACACAATAGTTTGGCACTTTAGGGCCGCATGCGTCTCACTGATTGGTAACAATGAGGCCCCCAGATAAAATAATTGCCTGGTGTTCCCAGAGGTCCCCCATTACAGTACTGACCACACTCAAGCCTTCTTAATTTGTTTTAAGATCATTTTAACTCAGGTGACGCCACTATGATATCTGTCCCAGAAGTTTTGTATGATAATACACTTTTCCTCAATACAGGTTTCAGCGCTAATGTAAGAGCATGAAATAAAAATATCATTTCTAGAATATACTAAATAACAACGACGCAAAGATTCATTCTTGCTGGTTTAAGTTAAAATTGAAACAAAAACGTACCATTTAGTGATCAAGAGGCGCTGGTGGAAATGTCAAAGTTTCTTCAGCTGTCACGGTCACAAACTAAAGTGAAAGTAGTTGCTCGCTTCCTGGTGGGCGTGGTCTCGTTCAGGCGAGCGCAGTGTGACAAGTGCATGATCATTTCATACTGTGTATAAGCAGCAAATTAAGACAGAACCAAGACTTTGACAATAAGTAGTGGTGTATTCTATGTGTTATTTGAATTACTGGATGAAACTGGTGACATAATAGTAATCTATGTTTGTATAATTGACAAAAAAATACTCAAAATATTATTCACTCCTATGAACAGGCTAGAGTTCAAGTTGTGCTACTACTCCATCAACATTACTGTAATTTGGTACGGCACATTTCTTCCATCTGAAGTGTTGCGGGACTCAAGAGTTTGAACCTGAAGAAGTTTCAGTTTGTCTGCTGCTTGTAGACTTTAGTTTCATTTAAATGTTCCTATGAGTCAGATAACGCTGATGTTGTCATAGCTGCTTTATCATGGATTTGCACACACTTTCATTTCACGTTCAACTCGACTCAATTGTTTCAGAGGGGAATTGGCTGCATGTGAAATCAATGACACATTAAAATGGTACATGAAATGCTGGGCAAAGTATAATAAGCTCCCAAAGGTAAAAGCTCCCGTGGTCCCGACCAAGCAGATGCTCCGGAAATGTCACCCTCGCTGCATTGAGAGATGGGTCAAATGCAGAGGGCAAATTTCCATAGTGATATTCAAGTATACTGTAATAACCCAATAAAGTATACTCTTCTAAAGACCTTCCTGTAAACTTAAGTACTACACATCAATTTCTTATAAATCACATATTTATTAAATGAGGAATGTAATAGACAGCATAAAAATGAAACTTAAGAAAACATTTTAAAAAAGATCAATGAAATGTAATACAAAGTCTTAACTAGTGATCTCATTACCTCACCAACATGGAGCAGGGGTCTTGTGTTTATAGATAGGATTACACAAAAACTACGGACGGACAAAGCATTTTGTGCGTTGAAGGATGTTTTAGTAGGAAGACCCAAAACAAATGTTGGGACCACCCTGGCCCTGGCAGGGTAGGACCAAGAGCACGCTCTAGTTTATAATGCAATTCAATTATAAAACACAAAAACTATTACAATACCCCCTGCTGACTATTCTAACAAAATAATGATAAATGTTTAGAAAATATCTTGATGAAGTTACAAAATACAAAATATGTAAAAAGAGAAAAAGCCATTGTAGTCTGCACAAAGTTTAAGAAAAGGGAAACCTTGTTGAAAAATATCTCTTACATATAAACATACAGTATTTAGATTATACAGTAAATATATGTTTAGAGGAGAAATTATCCAGTGTTAAAATCTGTATTTAAAAAGTCTCTTTACTACAGTTCAATATATTGAGTGGTCTTCATTTCAGTGTTGGACCCTGAGATATTGCCGTGTGGCAGTGTGTGTATGTGTGTGCCTCCACTACAAGCCAGCGATGGTCCTGAAAGAAGGGACAAAGACACCACACTGGCTCAGGGAGTGTTTCTCCAAGTTCTTCTGGATCCTAAATGTTTTCCCACAGGCCGAGCAGTTGTAGGGTTTCTCTCCTGAGTGGAAGCGAAGGTGAGCCTTCAGGTTTTCTCGAAGCCGAAAACACTTCCCACAATGAGTGCAGCTGTGCGGCCGCTCACCCGTGTGGAACCTCAAGTGGCGCCGCAGGCTCTTACGCAGGGCAAAAGTCTTAAAGCAATTAGAAAACGTACACTCGTAGGGCCTTTCTCCAGTATGAAAGCGCTCATGGCGGCGGAGAATCTTCCTGTGCTTAAATATTTTCTCACATTTGCTGCACACATAACCACTTCGTGAGTGCATTGCAATCTTCTGCAAGCGCCAGACGCCATTATTACACTTAGTAAAGCAACACAGACGATGACCTGTATGAAGACTCTGGTGAGGCCGGAGGTCTTTATGCACAGACCACCCTGGTTTCACATTCATGACGGCATCCTTAGGAAAGTCCAGAGGCACAGACAGCACATCAACCAGTGGCACTGCACATGGCGTTAGCAATTTCAAATCCAGAGAGTTCATCTTTATCACATGCTGGTTCTTCTGAGACACACCTGCATGAGCCGGGGTAATGGTCCCATCAAACACAGACGGGCTGTAAGCTTTGCCTTTAGCTGTGCTCACGTTGCCTTGTTGAGGTTCAGCTTGACTAGACTGCTCAGGGCTCTGAACTTCTGCTTTTGGAGACTGGGTCTTGAGGATTATTGGGCAAACAAACTTGGTCTGGTTCATTGTGCCGTCACTTACACTAGGTTGGATCACATACTTCTTCTTCTTAGTAGAAGGCCGCTGTGGACTTTCAAGGTGTTTGTCAGTAGACACTGGAGGGGCGAAAAAGGCCATGTTAACCAAGAATACAATATTATTGTTTTTCGTTAAATGTTTAATGATGTGCTTCCAAAAACAGGTTGTGAAACTGGAGCACCTCGTATTTTATGCAGGTTAATCATATGCTGAAAAAACAGTTGTTTTCCTATGTATTCCTCCTCCTCTGAGTAAATCCACACTTAAAAATACTGTAGAAATTATGTAGACCCATTTAGCACCTGGTTTAGTCCTAATTGAGACACAGAAAAAAAAGACTTCCAATACACCTATTTAGATAAGGTGGTACTTGGAAGTGTTTACTTAGATATGGTATATTGAAAAAATATTAAACCAGAGGTCCTCAAACTTTTTAAGCATTTTTTTGTTGTTTATGTATAATTCATTTTGACTCCATAGAAACGTTTTTATATTATTGTCACAATTTAAAAAAATACATTCAATAAATACAATGTTAGACACATACCGTTGTGTTCTTCTGAATGTTCATTTTTCATGTATGATTCTCCCTGGGATTGACTTGGCGGTATAGTGTCTATTTCAAGTAAACTCTGCAGCAAATCCCCAGGATCAACACCATCCTAACAAAAACAAACACAGATTTATTCAAAGGCCTATTATGGTTGAGAATAACTTTTTGTTATGGATGAATCACTTTCTAAAGGAAAACTGACCTGCAGTGTATTCACGGCTGACCAGAGGGGGTCTATGGGGGCTTCATCCTCCTCTGTAAGGAGAAACCCTGAAGGCGTGAGCCCGTCCACTTTAAAACCAGAGTCATCTAAGCACAAGAAGGGGTCTGCAAAAAGGGGAGGGGCAAAACAAGGGTCAGTGCACAATTCGGTAAGCATTGGATTCCTTAGATACGCCTTGTAGGAAAACAAGTGCATAAATCTATACTACACTCCTTGTTTGCATCCTGAAAGAAACATGTGAATGGCGGCCACAATGAGCCACTCATAACACGCTAGCTTGAGCATTATCAGTGGTGCTAATCCTGCAAAAAAATCGGGAAGTCGTCCATTAAAAGTATGAAAAAACCAAACACATACCAGGTCGCGCGGTCGATGTACAATCCACCACGTTCACTTGTACGCCCACACTTTGTTTACCCTCGGAGACCTTTAACGGGTTACATGCCTTCACACTTCCGCTACTGAGGTCCCTGCGGCCCGTGTTTGCAGCCGTAGAGAGGTACGTGCTCTCGAACAGTTTGGTCAACTCCACCGCGGCCGCCTTCACCAGAGTCCCGAGCAGTGACTCCACCTGCTGCTGCAGCTCCAGCAGGCCACCGGACTGCATTTTGTGCTGCTTCGTTTGGTTTCGGAGAAAAATACAAATATTCTTAAAAACAGCTTTCGGTCAAAGACTTCTGGTTTTCACGTAGTCCGACCACATGGCTTAAAAAGAAAAAGGGGCGTTGTTGAAAATGCGCATGCGCAACTGTAGCGCCCTTTGGTATACAGACTTTTAATATTTGCAATCTATGGGTGATACCTTGGGCAGGCATGTCAAACTAGGCTCGTGGGCCAAATCCAGCCCGCAAGACAATTTTTAGTGGCCTTTAACATTTTTCCATTCATTATTATTAAGTTGCAGCAATTATGGTAATGGATTACCAAGAAATTATGTATAAAATGTTTATTTTTATTTTTTATTATCAAATTTATTTATTGAACATTTTAACATTAATAGACATACAACATTCAATTAAGTAAGGGTGAAAGGTAACAGAGAATAAAGACAATACAGACACACAGACACTCGCACACACACACACTCACACAAACACAAAGGGGAGAAATATGAATTAAGTGGATAAACAAAATATCCCTGGTTACTGTACATGTTTTGACTGAGCCCACTTCTCAAGCTTCAAATTGTATAAGACTTCTTGAACCCAAATGTGAAGGGGGACGGGAAAGCTTCCATTTTAGTCAAATCAGCCTTCGGGCCAGCAATGTGGTAAATGCAACAACCCGCTTCATTAAATTAAGCCAATTTGACACAGTAAGGACCCCAAAAATGGCAGTAGCAGGATTAGGGGCAATTTAATGACCCTATGCCCTAGACAGTATGTCGAAAATGTGTGCCCAAAATGCATCCAATTTAGAACATGCCCAAAACATATGTATATGATTGTCCGGAGAAAATGGGCACCTGCCACAAGCATCGCTGGCAGTGGGATAAATGTGGGCCAATCTAGCAGGAGTAGTGTACCTGAAGTACTACCAATTGCATTGAATAAGTCTGTGCCGGGCACAGATAGATGATAAGTGGACAAGAGAAAGGGCTGAATTCCACTACTGTGCAGTTATTGCCAAATCAAGGCTATCTTCCCATGTATTTTTGATCGCATTGAGAGTTGTAGACGTGGTTGAAAAAATTGACCTATACAAAACTGAAATACATCCATTAACGGGCAGTTTGGAAAATGAGGAAAACGGCAAGTTCCGGATTTGGAAAAGATTATGCCTTGGGAATTTATATTTTACAAAGTGCTGTTCAAATGATGAAAATATACCATATAATAAGTTATTTAGCGACCCAATTCCACTATTATGCCATACCTTAAAAGCATTATCCGACTTGGATGTGTGGTGACAGTTTTTGGAGTAATTACATAAAACCAGCCGCAGCAAATACACGGACGTCAAAGGCCTTTTATCAATGCAGAGACGCCCTTCTGACGCCATGCTGAGCTTTGCGAGGGCCCCCTGCTGTCTGTCACACCCTTGTGTCTTTCGTATCTTGAATCTGTATGCCTGCTTCTATCCATATGTCCCTGCTGCCAGGAAGGAGCCGGGCCCCCCCCGACACCTACAGACAATGGCGATCACTCTTGCCCCCTTTCACCTCTTGCATATGTATCGGTCTGTATGTGTGCACTTCCTACATCCTGCAGTCTGTTTGCATCCCTATGCGCCTCCTGCACCGGTGGCCCCCCTCCCATCTGTTGTGGGCGGGACTGGCTTCCGTGTGTGTCTTGTATACAGGAAACTCGGGGCTCTGGCCCCAGAGCTGGTACATGCTGCCTTTTGTGTGTGTGTGCTGGCTCTCCGCACGTGCGTTAACAATAAACTTACGCTTTTGATCAGACAAAGGACCTTTGAGTTTTCTCCTTCATGGGGTATATAATTCTATAACAATTTGGCGTTGCTGGCATGTCTTGGCATGGATACTTTCGGCGGGGACGAGCGGCTTTGTTTGGCCGACCTGGATCACCAGCCTCTGTTCCTTTTTGGAGACAGAGGAGGGCGCGCTCGTCCCGCGCACGGAAGGAATCCTTTTGCCACACAAGACCAAAAAGAACCTAATCTGGTGAGTCTTGTCTTTTCATCTGCGTAACGAGCCCAGGGCAGCACTTAAGTGTACACGGGGATTTGTTTATTTATGTATTTTTGGGGTATTTCATTCATTGCCACAGCATAGTCTGTGTGCGGAATTTTTTGGGGGCTTTTGCTCTAGATTGAAGCTAGCGGCTGCGCGTTAGTATCGCCCTGTAGGCGACCCTGATAATTTCTCTAAGTGTCTTCAGCCAGAACCGCTCCGTTTTCAAGAACGCGCGCTCGCTGGTTGAACCAGCGGGGGGGGGAACGGAGCGCCCCAAAGTGGGTAAGAGCAGGGAGAGACTAAGCGGGTTAGGCCCATTGTTCGTACGAGAAAATGGGTAAAATCAATCTATAGATGCAAGCTATGAAGGGCTTGCCTATGGTGCAGGTCATCTGCGTGATAATTTAGAAGAAGAAGGGAAGAAAAAAAATATACTTGGTTTTAAGAATATCACGGCAAAAGAGGTTAGAGAAAGAAATATGTAAAAACAATAGCTCCTCCGCCTTTCACCGAAGCGGAGAACACACAGGCGCACACACACGCCCTCTCTCACCTACTAACCCTTTCACACTAGGAGCAGAACTCCATGCTAAGTACGCGCCCAAACAAGGCGTTGGGCTTTTAAAAAATGAAGCAGACTACTGTTGTCTCTTTTCCCTCTCCCTTATCCAGGTCTGTCGGCGCCTTTCCTCCGCGCTCTGTCCTCTGCCTCAAAGCACCAGCCCCACGCCCCAACCACAGGCGGCGCCAGCACCAGCTGAGACCCCGCGAGAAGTGGGCCCAAACCGCAGAAGAAGAAGAGGCGGAAACAGACACACGCTCAGGAAACCACAGAAGAAGCGGGGGAAGCAAATATGTGAGACACCGACAACTGCTTTGGAGCACAGAGAGAAACTGCTCCAAATCCCGTGACTGTTCTCCACGGAGGGGGCAGCGTGATATACCAAACGCACCCGCGGAAACCCGCTTGAAAGTTGTTCCCGCACCGCAAACAGAAGAAGCCATTGTGACCGGCACGTTTGGGTTATTCACCAACCCTCATGGACCACATGCTAACGCTTTGGGCTACCTGGGCCTCCTGCGGACTTTGAAAAACTTCCACAGCCCGGCGGAAAGACTGTGTGCTCGACATGGGTCGAAGGACTGTTACCGGAGGAGGCGTTAAAGGCAGAGGGCCTCTCAAGCTCACACGGGGCCAGAGGACGGCAGAGGCGGGCACGGAGGAAACACGACTGACCAAACCTGGGTTCACATTCGTCACCAAAGCGACCGCTCATGTAAGTTGAACAACAACAAATTGCAATTGGCACTTTTTAGAGATAATTCATGCCCGTAATATACGCTAACAATCTGTGGTGTACAAGTTAAAATTCTGGATGACTCCGGGGCAACAAATTCTGTGCTAAAAGTGACAGCCTTTCTGTCTCCCCTAAAATGAGTGGCCGTTTCACATTCTCATTAGCAGCGGGGTGGAGAGACGACTAAAGAGCAATTTACGTCACCGCTAACGTGTTTTGATTCTCAGGGCAACCAGCTTAAACATTCTTTTCTATATTCCCCATTGTGCCCGGTTAATCTACTAGGCCGAGACCTTATGTGCAGACTCAATTTAAATCTGCTCTCAACACCAAGCGGCCTACGGGTGGTACACGCTGGTGAGCTAGCAAATGCTCCATGTTTCACCGGCATGCACAAGGAGGCACCGGTCCCAAAAGTTAACTACCACTGGAAATTGACACCAAACCCTGAGATTGCTAAGCTATTAGCCACAACAAGTGAATAGAGTTACGCCCGCACAAAATTTGGAGGTCAACCACGCGAACGACCTAAGCTGCTCTCTCCGGTCGTTCCCAGACAATAACTTGGAGTTTGAAAATTCATGCAGTGTAGTGAAGATAGGCTAACGGAGTATGTTTATTGGGATAGGCACCACTCTATGGTATCTGTGCTACTTAATGAGCAACAAAAACATTTTTATCGTGAAACAAAGGTGAAGTATTACAGTTTGAGACTAATTTACATTTTTAATGAATCCGACCTGGCTTTATTGAAAAAGAAAAAATAAGGAAAATAAACATTTTTTAGGTGACAAGAGCTCATTAGAGATATAGGGGACACCATTTGTGATAAGCCCGACTACAGACCACGTGGTAAACACTAAAGTTGGAAATGGATTTCTTTTTTTTAGGAAAAATCTCTTAAAAAGCTTTGCATGTTCTGCAGGCTCTGAAAGTTGCAACAATAGGAAGAGCTCATGAGACAATTGTAATTGGACATGGAAAATATAACAAAGTTAAAATTACAGGCCTTCTGTGTGTGTTACATGTTTGTGTGTTATATGTTTTGTGTATGTTATATGTTTGTGTGTCATGTCAAAGTACACTACGCTGACCTTAACAAACTCTGGACCAATACTAACGTGGGGAATCGGCCTGTGATGTGACTGTGATATGAGTGTGATGTGAGTGTGGAGTGAAATGAGGAATGCTGAACGGAATCATGGAATAACAAATGTGTCTGTAATGTTTTAATGTGATCATGGAATAATTCTTTTTTGTCAACAGCATACGGTGTAAGTACTAGAGATTCAAAGATAACGACCTTTATTGAACAGGTGTAAAAGTGAGAGTACTCTGGGATGAGTACTCTGAGAAAAGTACTCTGCGGAAAGTACTCGGAGATGAAATACCTCGCTGAAGATATTGGGAGTCCCTCCCTCTGCTGTTTGCCCTGACAGTGATTCGGTCCAACCGCAGTGAGCGGTCATTGGGCGGAGGACAACTTTGGTTTGTAAACTCACATTTAGGGGAGTATAAAATTAGAAACATACATTTTGTTGTTCTGTATTTGGCTACAGCCTCCGCCCTGATGCCACACACCGTCTGTCAATGCAGTTATGTTTTGCCCAATTGGAAAAAAGATTGACAAGCGAAAGTGGGCATTTTTTGTGTTTTTTTTGTGTTCTAATA